CGTCACGCACTGCACTGCGCGAGAAATAAAACCATTTAATTTATAATTGAACTAACATTAGCTTTTTAAATACCAAATTCGTAACACTGCCCCCTTCCCAAGGACTGCACGTCCCGGGCAGTACAATCCCTGGACAGGAAGCTAAACTTACAACTGTGGCATAAACATTACATTACAATATCAAACAACATGAACAATAAATGCAATAAATAAAACAAATCAAATGCTATCAAATACAAAATACAAAACAAATACTAAATACAAATCAAATACTAAATGCAAATCAAATACTAAATACAAATTTAAAAACAAAATGGACCATGGTCTTATACTATTTACAATTATTTACATTATGTACTATGGCCATAATAATGAGCTAACCTGTCGTAATGAACGACTTTAGGTTTTAGTTCGAAGACTTACGGATCCCGACGTCATTCAGCCTGTTAGGCACTGTGTATGGACCATCCGAAGGTGACTGTAATTTAGGACTGAGTCCTTTTCGTCGAATCGGGTTCCACAACCACACCTTGTCTCCTTCGTTGGATCTATGTCCAGTAGCTCTCGTGTTGTATCTGGTCTTCACTTTCTCCGTCGCCAAGTTCACTCGCTTTCGTGCGGAACGGTGCATCACTTCAAAACGGGCCTTGACATCTTGGATGTGTTCCTCAGGCGATGAAGGCGCATCCGTACGGCGATGAAACAGGCGGTCACAAGGCAGACGAAGGTCTCGACCGAAGAGCATCTGGGATGGAGAATAGCTGGTAGTCTTGCGTTTCTTTTCGACCCTAGCATGATTTCGGCGGCTTCCCGAGCTGGGTCTTTCGGACAAGGCGTCGGCATTTCCAGGTGAGGATCCCTTTTGGATGGATAGTCATGTCATCAGATGCTGAAAGCAGTTTGTTTGTTTTTCAAGTCTAAGGAAAAATTGTATTTCCTTAAAAAGTCCAATCCGAGTATGCATGGATCTGTAATATCCGCCACATATGCCGTGTGATGGTAGGCGGCACTTCCAAACGTGATGTTTACGTTTAACTTCCCAGTTATGTCGATCTTGTCACCAGACGCAGTCTGAAGGGTAACACAGGATGGCGTCCAAATAAGTTTATCTTTAAACTGTTCAGCTAAATCTTTCCTAATGATGGTAACATTAGCTCCTGTGTCAATGATCATATTGCAAGGAACTCCATCGATATTCCCATTGATGGACAGTCCGTTACTGTTGCCACTCACTGTATAAATTTTAAGCGCTTTAAAACAAGGTTTTTTCATTATCTGGCAACCTCCGTTCCTCGATATGGTCACTAATTTGTTTCCTGCGTCGTTGCTGGGAAATGGTCTCAATTTTCCGTCCCCTGGGGTGTTCTGCAATTCCTTCGTATGTGGCCTTCAGCTCCACAGTTCCAGCACTTTGGTTTCTTGTCACTCCTTTTTCGTCCGATGGCATTTAATTGTCTGTTCAACTCGTCTGTCTTATTTTCCGTGCTCTGGGGTGTTCTGCAGTTCCTTCGTATGTGGCCTTCAACACCGCAGTTCCAGCACTTTAGAATTAGTTTCTTTTCACTTCTGTTCCGTCTCAAGCCACTGACTTGTCTGGTAAAATCATCTGTTTTATATTCCGTACCTGGGGTGTTCTGCAATTCCGTCTTAGGTGACCTTCACTACCACATCTCCAACACCTTAGAGCCACTTTCTTCTCGCTCCTACTCCGTATCAAAGTGTCGACTTGTCTGGCTAAATCATCTAAACGAGCCATCAGTTGATCCACTGGCTCATGGACTCGCACAGCTCTAACTGGGTAGCGATCTCTACTAGTTGCTTGCTGGGCTGCCTCGAACTTCATGGCGTACAACAGGGCGCTTTTCAAATCTTTAACATCCGCCATTCGTAGAGCCTTCTGTATTTCAGGATCCCGGATGCCGTCGATAAAGTATTGCAGGGACCGGATTTTCCTTGTTTCTGTCAAGCACTCCGAAAAGGTGAGATGGGACAACCTTTCAACATCCGTGGCGAGCTCCTGGCAGTGATTCGGTGGGCTTCTGTTGACCGGATTTTAATTGAAGCCTGCTGTAGTCTTTTAAACATTTCTCGCCAAAGCGCAGCTCCAATGCGCCGGATAGAGCTTCGAAGTCAAGTCTTTGGTTTTCGGGAAGCGTCTGCAGGATATCCGCTGCGTCTGCTCTCAGAGAAGCGGCGAGATGACAGGCCTTAGTTTGGGAATCCCATCCATTCGCATCCGCCACGATAGAAAATTGTGTCTTATACACCTGCCAGGAGGTCTTCCCATCATAAGTCGATAGCTTCAGAGAGGGACGAGCAGGCATGGGTAAAAATTTAAAACCATCACTATTGTTCCCTGCCGTCGCTACGAATTTCTTTAAAATATCCACTTGGCTACTGCACTAATATCCACTTGGCTATTTGGCTACTGCAGAAACCCTATCATCAATTTGTTGTTCGATTTGGTGTTGGACGGCACAAACTCTTCCTTCTATATGTTCTTTTACAGAAGAAACTCTTTCTTCTATTTCTTCTTTCACCGAAGAAACTCTTTCTTCAATTTGATCTTTTACGGAAGAAACTTTTTCTTCAATTTGTCCAACTTTATTTTCAACTGTGTCAATTCTGCCTTCCATAGCTTCAAATTTATTTTCTATTATGCAGGTAATTTCTCTTTTCATTTCTTCTTGACCAGCTTGAACGGCTTTCATTTCGTCCTTAACGGATTCCTGGCCCAATTTCATTTCATCCTTAACGGATTCCTGGCCCAATTTCATTTCCTCCCTAACAGACCTCATCTCTCCTTTAACGGAATCTTCCATCTTTTCCTGACCAGCTTCATCTTTTCTTTCATTTCTTCTTTAAATGCAGCAAAAGCACTGATGAGCTGTCTCAATTGCTCCTCCATCGCTCTTGTTATTGGCATTCAAATCCCACTTCTGACACCAAAAATTGTTGCGTGCGTACGGGTTCGTTATGAAATGAATGCACAAGTCCGATGCAAAATGAACAAAAATTTATTATTGTCACAACAAATATGATTAAACGTCCTCAAATTAATCGTGCAGTATCACAATAGTATCACAGTAGTTATCTTCTAACTACTCAAATGTCCAATAGAACGTAATTCAAAACAGCTAAAGAACGCTAATCCGCGAATTCGCTATAATCGACTAGAGCAGTTTTCTAAACAACAACAAACTAAGCAACTACTACAAACTGAGATGTTTCCCTCCTTTTATAAGATTTTTAAAATCACGCGCTAGAATTTTCCAGTACTTTCTAGAAATCAAAAAGAGATATTTATTTATTTAATGCACGCGCTCTTGTATTTTCAGTTTTCCGGCTTAGCTTTCTTTTAATATTCGTCACGCGCTGCACTGCGCGAGAAATAAAACCATTTAATTTAAAAATTGAACTAACATTAGCTTTTTAAATACCAAATTCGTAACAATATGTTAGTCAAAAAGGTATATTTATAAATAGAGAATTACAAATTTAACATACTCTTTAATGCAGTGGAATATTTAAAAGGCAATCAAATTTAATTTATAATTAACGTTTTTAGTTTTTACCTGTTTCAAAAGAAAAAAAATAGCAAATCTTTTAATGCCATACCTGATTTGCTGTGGCAGTTTGATATAGTCAGACGTTCATTTTCATTAAAGGTAAATGTGTATGCAGAACTAGGAAATAATTGTCAGGACAAATTTTGCTATTTCATGGACTTGGAATTATATTTTTTGGGTCTGATTTTCTTGACATTAATCACTGCTCTCTGCGAACTAGTACTGCAGTTGCAGTTATCTTATTTTCCTCCATTTTTTTTAACTAAATCCAGCTAATTGTTGTCTTTTTCACTAAGAAGTGTAAGTGTTTCAGTAAGTGTCTTCTCGCTATAATAATGTTAATTAAGTATTTTTTAGCAAAATATTCTTTCAGCGTTCATCACTACTTCTGCCGCCTAAATTTTTTGGTGACAACACCTGATTGCTCCTTTTTTACCACGTGATCCCAATGCATCCGCAGACAACGGATAGAAGTTGAATATAGTTGAAATACCTTCCGTCCGTCATCCGTCACCGCACGTCGGCCGGATTGCAGATGTCAATCAAAATGAATTCGCAATCAAAATGATTGGAGAAATGCATACGCAGCGGTGTAAACGGGTCTGCCTTTACTATTGAACAGCCCTGCAGGAGGTCACTTTGGACTAATAAAGACCTTGCAGAGAGTTCTTGAGAGCTTCTACTGGAATAATCCGAAGGCGATACGCTCAAAGGGTGTAACGTTGCAGCCTGCCTTGGCTGCGTTTCTTCGGTCCCTTCCGACTTGCACAGGCATCGCAAGGTCGGCACCACGTTTGCACGTCATCCTTTGCATTATTCCAATAGAAGCGCTCACGAACTCTCTGCAAGGTCTTCATTACTCTGAAGTGACCTCCTATAGGGCTGCTATGTAGTTCTTTAAGGACATTCGGAATCCGGGATCTTTAACGGCTGACACTTTTTCAGGATCCGTGCACACACCTTCAGCAGAGATGACATGTCCGAGGCAAGTCACTTCCTATCTGAATAATTTGCATTTAGAAGGGACTCAACTTTAGATTGGCTTTATTTAGTTTCTGAAGTACCTTTCTAGGATTTTCTAAATGTTCTTCAAAGCTCTTCCCGACGACGATGATGTCATCCCGGTATATCAGACAGGCTTCGTAAGAAAGACCTTTCAAAATAGTCTCCATTAGGCGTTCGAATGTAGCCGGTGCATTGCATCCAAACGGCATCACCATGAACTGCCAAAGTGCTTGTCCCGTAGTAAATGTCGGCTTTTCTCGGTGATCAGGATGTATCTCCACTTGCGAATATCCATTCCTTAGATCAAGGGTCGAAAACCACTTGTTTCCAGAAAGAGTTTCCGGAATGTCATCAATTCTAGGAAGAGGGTAACTGTCTTTTTTCACTAGCAAATGCTTATAAAATAAATAAAGTAAAACAAGAAGGTTTACAATAAATAGGATTTATTTATAAAAAGCAAAAATGCACCATAATGAATTTATAGGTCTTTAAAATGATGCCTCAGTTTCTAGCAAATAAGGTTTCATCTTCTTGGATGGATACAAGTAATAAATTGTAACTCCTACCACTGCTAGTATTACTAGTATGCAAATTACGATGCCGAAAATGCCGCCAGCTGTTAACTTCTTGCTTATAACTGAAAAAGAATAAAAACAATTTGTTGAATATCTAAGTGAATAAATAGTTTTTTATTTCTCAATTAGAATCGCAATAAAATTTTCAGAATAAAACTATATTCCGTTAAAATTATACGTGAAAACGATGCACATATATATCACCAAAATTTCTAATACAATCAACTCAAGTTTATGCGAAACTTGAGTAATGTAACTCCCTATCCCATTATAAGATGATTTCAGTAGACGTAGAACCGTGCGAAAATTCTGAAGCGATATTTCGTTGGCCTACTGTAACTTTTCTTTTGACATAATGGCCAAAAACGAGTTGGCCTTCTTGAAAGCATGGCAAAGGAAATTAATAAATCTTCCCGCCCACTCCCAAGAAGACAACAAAAAAGGCAGTTACCCCAAGATTGCTTTTGAAACGCATTTTAAGCTCTTTCTTATTAAGCAAAAATAAATAATAGGACGATTCCTTAGACTAGTGGAACTTTGAGCCCAAAAAACACGTGAAAACTTAACGGCTGCACTTAAAAGTTAACTTTGAAGAATGTCTTAAAGGCGGTGCAGCTGCTCATCTGATGGTAAATAAATAAATAATAATCTGAACTAATGGAGACATCTGGCATAGCCAATGCAGCTCCAAAGTATGTTTTTCGTCATATCGGAGATAGTTGAAAAATCCGAACTTCACGTACAGCGGTGATAGTCGACACATGGAACTGACTTCACACTGGTGGTCAGACAAACACCAGTGTGAAGTGCTGATTAAACACAGCTGAAGCAAAAGTGTGCGACGTATTTATGAATAATAAGCTTAACACATAAAAAACTTCCGAAAATTCGTCTGTTGACAGAATTTATTTTCGGTTGATATGTTTGAAACTGAATGATTTTCTTATTTAAATTATCATTCATTGTTATCAAACACTTGCTGTTTTCAATTTATATGACATTCATTTTAAAACTAGCTTATGTAAACGAATGTGATAACTGTGAGCAGTTTCAAGATATAAAATTTATTATTATATAATTAGGCAAAATACGTGCTGTAAAAAATATCTAAATCAAAATTATAGCATAAATTAACAACAACCTCTTAATTCTTCATTTTAATTCGGGTATTTCGCCCTTCTATTCTAAATATAGTCATTGCTTGTAATAACGTTTTATGGACTAGTTCATGTCTAGATTAATTCATATCATATGAAATTTACATAACATTCTGACGAAAACATCTTACATAAGACTTCAGCCAATAATTATTTTAGAGATTTATTAATGTAGTGCCGAACCCTTGAAGCCGTGAAGAAATCCAGTAGCCATGACGTAATACAGAAGTTACCTTATCCTTTCTATTACCAGCTTCGAAAGCGAAAAGCGATAAATCAGAAGCACCTTTTAGATGCGAGACGAGTAGCGTGAGCAGAAGCAGAGCCGCCTGTTTAGTACAAATGCCGTGACGAATTATAAATACTTGTAAAATCTTCCATGTTCTAATCGTTTGTCTTCATTGAAATGTCTTCCATTAATTAATTTGGTTATTATTATTCCCTCATTAATTTTTCAATCAAATGGTACTGAAACCGAAATTAACGCGCTTTGAATTAAGATTGCGTTCGGAACGCTCCTGATTTTCGGCTTATCTATCTGTTGCTTGCTACTTCTCTTCTGACCGCAAAAAATCTCAAAAATGTAAATGTTATGTTCTGGAACAAGCATGATTAGTGTGCCAAGTTATTTGTCGCCACAAAAGTTTAAGTAAATAAAAGAGATATTATCTGAATCCGTGACTATAACTTCTTATTAAATCTGTTACGGCTGCAATTATGATTGATGATTCAATATCTCACGTGTGCGACATTTCCCAAATCATCACACACACACATATATTTTTAAATTTTGCAGAAAGCAAGAGTTTTTCATGTTTTGCATTTGAAACTGCATTAAACGAGGGAAAAAAAAGGTACTATGTGCTTTTACGTTAACAGGAATTCCACACGAGAAAAAATATAATTATTTAGAGACACAGTTTGTGCTTTCAAAAAAAAAAAAAAAAAAAAAAAAAAAAAAAAAAAAAAAAAAAAAAAACTTTTTTTTTTAATTAAATACTCTTGGTAACTGATTGTTTTTAAATTGCAAGACAGGAAGAAAATATTTGATACAAAATTAATAATGGAAGTTAAATGAAAGTGCTTCAACAACTCATTTTCAGAACTCGAATCAAAAATATCTTACTTACTTTCTTCCTGTTTTGTAGCATTGACTGCCATTGGTTCTAAAAAGCTGCCTGAAAATAAATTAAAATAAAGAAAATGATTAAAATTTAATATTTACTGCTAACACACGTAATTTTTGTTACTCTAATTGAAAGACTTAGCTGTAATTTTTTATGTAGCTTAAAAAATTTAATTATTACATTATAAATAAAATAAAATGCTTTTATTTTAAAATAAAATATGTTAATATTTGGAATACTATATTAATAAATGTCAGTTTTTATATTGAACAGTTTTAGACAGCATGTCTTAATTCAAAACTGATGTTTATTTGAATATAAACAAAATTGCCAAAAAGCTTCACTCAAGATAATTAAGTATCCTGCGATAAACTAAAAGATGCATTTTAAAAGCGGTATAAAATTTGACAGAATATACATTAATGCTGTATTGACTGAAATTTCGAGCTTTCTGAAGAATTCAGAGTAAAATTTACCTGTTTCTTTAGAAATAGAACATATGAATCCTCTACGCATCTCATCGCAATCGATATCATTCCATTTACCATCAATTACCGTCATCTCCACACAGTTACGATCACTGTGATCAGGCTCTCCAATTCCCCAGTTTGTGAAATCAAACGGACTGTTATCAACCCATGCATAGCTTCCTAAAAATAATTGAAATTTAGATAAATATCGAAGTTTTTATTAAATGTCAAAAAGTGTTAGATAGAAGTAGATACATAGACTTATAATAGACTACAGCAATGGTCAAACTAGCATCCCTAGGGCCGCATGCGGTTCCCCGAATCAATTTTAGGCCATTTCTATATTTGGTGCAATTATGGTGTTGCAGAGATTTCAAGATTTAATTTATCTGAAGTTCGAGTTTATATTATTTTAATTTACTTTATAAACGAACATGAATAACTCAAAATCTATAAATGAAGATAATTTATTTATAACGTGATATAAACCTCATTCAAAGTTGAGAAGATGCAGATTTTATGAGCTTTTATTTGAGCTTGTCAAAATAAATAAGCTCATTTACGATTTTTTGTACCAAGAATAATCCCTTTGTTTTTAAATATGTGAACAGCTTTTTCTGTCCATAGTTAAAAATGAATGAGAAAAGAATCGATGAATGATGAAACTGAAGATATGATCGATGAACATCAAACTGAAGATATTTCTCTCCAAGGCTACAAACTTTATCAGAAACGGAATCAAGTGCCGAAAAAGAAGCTTATAATTATTTAAACACAGTCATATATATTTTTACTTTCTTGTACCCTCGATGAGCTCCATTTTTAATTTTGTAAATTGTGGGTTTTTTGCTTTAAAACTAGTTGAATTATGTTGTTCTTATGTTCCGGTTAAAGTTTTTATGTGTTTAGTTAATCAGCATGCTACAGTTATTGAATTATCAACAATTGCTAAGCCTAAGGATACCCCATTTGTTTACATATGAAACACTTAGCAGAATAGGGATTTAAGTCACTTTGTGCACTAAATTTAATGTCTCTGCGGAGTGGGACCAAGAGTAAGCTTCTCATTTTTGTGTACCGAAAAACTGCTTTGAGTTTTTATGTATTTTTTGCCTTCCCGCGAAGTGAGAATAGAATTAATTGAATGAGAAATATATCTCTAAGAAAATTTCAGAAAAAAATTTAAATGAAATGCAGCAAAAAATGTGTGTGATTTAATAGACCGTACAAGGAAGTCATGTGGTGTCCGCATCGGATATTTATTTATGCATCAAAGGACAATTTTAGAAATAACAGAAGGAAACTAAGTTGCCATTATTTATTATCAAGTTTTGTCCTACTTGTAAACGTTTCTCTGAAAATTTAGAATGTTTTCATAATTTATTTAGTTTAAAATAAAGTGAATTACTTAATGATTAATTAAACTTATTAGAAATGTTTGAATGAAATGCCAGTTTACCAGTTTAATACCAATTAATTTAGCTGTCAGTATTCTTGAATTACAAAGTGTATCCAACGAACATGTTTTGCAGGTACCAAACTTAATATTTCAGATAGAAAAATTAATATCAGTACTTTTCATTTATGATATTATTTTATTGCTGTTTATTTCATATTTTATATTTAGAAATCGAAATTAAAAAAATTAAATATTTCTTATTTCATTAGTAATAGTTTTCATTTTGTAGGGGAAAAAAAATCTCGCCTTCAGTACTTTTCATATTATGCATGCGACCCGCACGCAATTTGAGCTTGAGAGCATTGGTTTAACAGAAGAGAAATATTATTTGGTACATGCAAATACAAAATACCTTTTTACATAAACGGTATTTATGATGCTTAGAGGCAAATATCTTTTTTTTTTTTTTTTTTTTTTTTTTTTTTTTTCCCCAAAGCATTTCGTTGTAAACAGTTAATAAACTATTTAGCTAATCTTTGGAATATGGTAACAGGTAGTTTGGCGACATTTTGGTAAGGCGATAAAGGTTACTAGCTAGGACTTTAGCAGTGTACATGGATAAAGTCAAGAGTGTGCGCAATGCCATTTTTGTGCAATTCTGGGATGTTTTTTTAAGTGAAAATAGGTACTGGATGATATACCGTGTATGTGCAATTCTTAAAAACGCGGCAAGCAGTGGGCGATTCTGCACTTTCTCCCAATTTCGCACCTAATCTTCGTCAAGATTAAGCACTTTTGTTCCACAAAAGTTCTAGAATAAGCGTAATTCGGCTAGCAGATTGTTGGAAAAAAATGTTGAGGAGAAAAAAAAAAAAAAAAAAAAAAAAAAAAAAACATGCCCTTTACTTTGTGAAAACAAAATGGCGTCCCCCCCCCAAAAAAACTAGCAGGTTGCTGTAGCAGGGTTGGCCGCCAAATTTTCGCCAAAAAATCGCCAAGTTACCATAATTCAAAGATTAACCAACTATTTTTGTAAAATTAAAAGGCTTTCAAACGATGGTAAAACTGCCCAGGTTCCATAAGCCAAATTTTATTTGTTGAACAACTAGCCATAGCTCTGTGACGGAAACAGGTATAACATTCTAGCTGTAGAACTTTATGCCAACCTCGCATAAAAACCGACCAATCCCTAACGAAGCAAATGCAAACATGTGCTCGGCGATTTGACGGAGTCAGCTGCGAATTCAATGCATGCGCAACTTTACCTTCTCTGATTGGCTACAACTTAACCTCTGTTTCACAGGTGTGAATGAATCTAATGACTTTTATGCCTTGTAACTATATAATAGCTATACGACCAGGGGTGGCCCAAGAGCGATGCGTAGTGCCGGGAGAAAATTATGCCGTGTGCGCATGACGTCACGTGAGTGACAGCATGGACCTTATAAGAGATAGACTAACCCAGTGGGCGGGGCGCGCGTCACCGACATGTCGGCAAGAAAGAGTAGGGACGATCTGGTTTACTTTAACACTGAAACCTATGGCGTTTGTATCACATAACTCTTTTTAATTATTAAATGTGATACGTTGTATAGTGATGAGATTATGATAGCCACAGTTTTTTCCAAATAGGATTAATATGTCTCATTAAAGCACTTTTTACTGCATTTCACGCATTTTTTTCACGCGCAATTCTTGTAAAAACACCTTTACTTTGGTAAAACGGTAAAAACTCTAAGCACAAAATTTATGAACTTAATTTTTCGTAAAAATGAAGTAAAATTAAATAAGATTGATAGTACGTGATGCTTTGAAATAAATAAGGTAAAATTAAACAAGATCTGATAATTTAAAAAAAAATTAATAAACATTTTCAGGCAGTGATTTTCCAAACTATAATAACATTACGAAACGATCATATTTATTTGACTATATGATCATTAAATTATTAACATTAAAGTGGATTAGTTATTTTAATAATTCATAAATTTCGGAGCATAAAATTTTCTGAGCGTAATGAAGGAAAAGAAAAAAGGTAAAATAAAATCTAGAAGCACTCACATTTTATATTACGCCCAAAAGGAACATTTTTTTAGTTTTGCGTGTTACCTATATTTATTGAATATCATGTTCTTCGCCCGTAAACCACATACAATTGAAAACAGCATATCTTTAGAATTTCCGCACTGGAGATAAAACTGTTATTTTCTGTACAGTGCTCGCTCTGAACTCGTTGAGTTTGTTAATCAAAAATTCGTTAAAGTTTTACAAAATGTGAAATAGATTAAAACAAATTCGAAATTTGGCCGTCCAGATGCCCATGTTTGGGTGGAGGATTACATTATTCAAAATTTGATGGCTCTAAATACTGTCGTTTTTGTCACAGTGCAAGAAACATACATGTATTCATGCAGATTTTTCATTATTTAATTTCTTTATATATAATACAGGGCGATAATATTTGATAACAACAATTTGCAAGGCCGGGGCGTAGCTAGAGGGGGGCATCTGTCCCCGGGCGCAGAATCCAAGGGGCGCCAAACTGATGTTACGACATTTTAGAATTAAATGTTTTCCATCCTTGGCAAGCATGAGGGGGCGCGAAATCTTCAGTTGTTGCTGAGCGCTGAAAACCCTAGCTACGACTCTGTTGCAAGAAGACACGGACATTTATAGTAAAACAGCGCAAAATGCTGCTTCGAAACTAACAGCCTTTCTAGTCTACCGCCGCTTTGGGCTAATAAATTAAATTAACAGTAAATATAAAAAATCTTATGCAGAACTCAAAATAAATTTTAAAAAATAATCACTATAAAATACAAGCAAAATTAATTATTACGGTTAAATACAATTTTAATATTAGAATTAAATGTATAAAAATTTTTAAGGACTCAAAAGTGTTTATCACTACGATGTATTATGAAATATAATTGAAATAAAATTCCTTTATAGAAATTGTGCTATAATACTCATCTATAATTTTAAAAAAGCAGCACAACTTAGAATTTAAACCAAATCTTTCAAAAATTCGTTTTTAAATATTTTAGTATTTTTCACTTATTTACACCAATAAAGAGCATAAAAATTGCAAGAGAAAATTGCTTGTTTGAAATTTTCTATTAGTTCAGATTAAAAATATTATTTTCTAAAAGAAGTAGTTACAAATTTCCTTACAGCATAGGAAAAGTTAAAAAAATATCCAGCCCTGAAAGCATGCAATAGCTTTATAATTATTTTGAACGTTAATTATGCTTGATAAATATGCTAAATTTTTAAAAATCAATCTCAATTTCAAAAATAAAAATATGTCGAAATTCTAATTTGTGAAATAAGTGGCGCTACATACCAGCTTTTTCTTGACAATTATATACATTCTGCAATAGGCAACCAATGTTAAATTTCTGCAAGTCGTCCCTACTCCTCCGGATGTGATCAAGGTGACAGCCGGCAACGCCTCAGACGAGGGAGAAAACCCGCTTGGGTTAGTCTATTTCTTATAAGGTCCATGAGTGACAGTCGTTTGTTCTTGGCGTTTGTTTTGCATTCGTTCATCAACAGTTTCATTTGATTTGTGTTGTTGATTTGCTATTATACTTAACCAGAAATTTCAAATTGTGCTGTATCGTTATGTCAGAGTTTAGAAGGAAAATTAGAAGTAAGGGTATCACATACCATCGTTTTCCAAGTGATCCAGAACTTCGTAAGTTATGGATTGTTCGCTGCAAAAAAGCAGATAATTCCAACATCGAAAATGCAATAATATGTGCTTTTCATTTTACACCTGATGACTACGTACGGGATCTAAACGCAGAATTGCTTGGTTCAACTTCTAAAAGGGTGCTGAAAGCCAATGCTGTTCCCACTTTACATCTTACATCATGATCGTGTGAAAAATAACTCACCAATACATTATATATGTTGTACTTCAGAAAACCGAAGTTAATCTGTAGAGAAGTACTCGTATTTCTGACACGAATGATTCATCCAAATTTATGCTAAAAAGAGATAGAGCAAGCAGGTGTCGGGCTCGCGAAACAAGGAAACGAGCACTGGAAAATTTAGCTTCCCTGTTCCCAAAAAAGAAAAGGCTATAAGCTGGTAAGATAGACTGTGCAACTCAGTTTACACACAGTGACACATCTGATTTAGTTGAAGTCATCAGTGACACATTAGAGTTAGTCAGATACTAATACAGATAAAAATAATACAGATAAAAAATAATACAGATAAAAATAATACAGATAAAATATCTGCTTATTTTTTTTAATGAATTTATGTAGTTTTCATACATAACTGTGATCGAATGGATACATTAGTATATGTAATTGTACATTAGTATATGTATTTTTTACTAATATTTTACATTTAAATTAAAATTTTTTCTCATATTAAATCACTTTTTACCATAATCTTCATTTTGTGAATGAGACTTATATCACAATGAGATATTTAAACTCAGTGTCATGTTTACAAATATTGACTACCTAAATGATTAGCTAATTATTAAATTTGTTTATACAACTTCAATCACATGCCTATGTGTTTTGGTTACTTTTTTACATCTAAAAAGTAATTCTATATGTTGATGCATTGTTTGGGTTAAGCACTGCGTACAAAGTAAACTGATATATGCTTCACCCTGAGGGAAGAACAGTTTCTCGACCATACTACCATGCAAATATCGAATCAGTGACTGACATATTCCCATTAGTGTTAACTGAATCATATGTGTGATGTAATTTAATTAACTTAACTAAGTGAATTTCCCCATGCTTGACTCTGAAGGAAAACAAATGTGTATTGTGTTGGAATACAATTAGCGAAAGAGTAAAATATTCTCTTCATTGTTATTTAATTGCTGCGCATGCTTTTAATTTTGATTCCATATAATTTGTTTTTAATTATAACAGAAAGAAAAATATTTAAATACTGAACACTATTTCGAGTATAACAAAAACCACTTTAAGAAACAAGGTGATATAAATACAATAGTTATTAAAAATATTTAATTTGTACGCAGGCTTAATTGAAATTAAGAATTAGGGAAAGAGTACTTTTAGATAAAACTGAAAATATATGTGCTTCTGCTGACATCTAAAGTAAATCAATATAAGTGACCTTTCACCTTAAAAAAAATGTGATAAATCTATTTAAAAAGTATACAGACGTGGTAAAGAAATTTGTAGAATTTTATATTAATTAAGTATGAATTTGGTGATTCAAATCATTTTTTATATATTTTTACTTGAGATATGTAATTTAAACTGAAAATCACGATCATATATTACTCACGGAGTATCAAAGTTCATTTGTATTAAAAAAATGCATGAGCAATGAAAACATATGGAAAATACTTTTTGATTATGTTTTTACCATGGTCTTGGCAGTTATGCCCATCATGTATTCTATTCAACAAGATTTATTAAGTGCAAGGCAATACAACGTAAAAATATTTAAAAATACCGCGTTTTTACAATATTTAGTTTCCCATTAACTTAAATATCGTTTTTCATATTCTAATGCTTTCCTTTAAGAAAAGGATGTTTACAATTATTTTAGTATTCGTACGAATTCTGAATGCATAAAATAAACATTTGCTTTGACAAAATATTTAATCGGAAAGTATATACCCGGTATTTCCAGTATGTGATTATACATACTACATGTAAAATGATAATTTTGCTTTAGTTTACATTTTTTCCATTACTGAAATCATGCAGCACACGCGTCGACAGATGTATCTTGTCACTCATGGCTGACACTCAGGCTCACTCGGGTGACGTCACTACCAGCAACCAATGGCATGCTTTTTTCTTTCCTGGCCTAACCTTCAGTATATTAAAGAACCTTGCTATACGACTACCAGATGATACAGTGGATGGACAAAAATATGGAAACACCTTGTGAAATGCATGTTTGAAAAGAAAGATTGATTTTAATGAAATATGTAGGTGGCGCTGGCATTTTTGACTACTGACGCCACCTATACAACTTCGTAAATGTGCTAAAACAGTCAGTTGTGTCGGAGTACTGTTAGGAGGTGTCATTGCATTATGTCAGAGTTAACAGACTTCGAATGTGGGCAAATTGTTGGAGCACGTATCGTAGGTGCTTCCGTAAGCAAGGTAGCCGAGGTGTTTAGTGTTTCAAGAGGTACTCTATCGAAGATTTATTCCTTATATTTGAAAAGCGGAAAAACATCGTGGACAGCGCGGACGAAAGTGTGTTCTGAGTGATCGTGACAGACGATCATTAAGGGCAATTGTGACGAAAAATAAGAAGACCACAGCTGCAAAAGTTACTGCTGAAATGAATGTTGTGTTACCGAACCCTATGAGTACCAAAACAATTAGAAGGGAGCTTCATAAACAGGGAATTGCTGGCCGTGCTGCAATTGAGAAGCCACTCATCAGTGATGCTAATGCCCGTAACAGGAAAAGGTGGTGTTTAAGTCATAAAGCCTGGGCTATAGAGCAGTGGAAGCGAGTAATACTATATAGAGCAGTGGAAGCGAGTAGTACTATAGAGCAGTGGAAGCGAGTCTGACGAGTCTTCTTTCACATTGTTTCCCACTTCTGGCCGAGTCTACGTCTGGAGAACGCCATCTCAAGCCTATAATACAGACTGCTTGTTGCCAAAAGTGAAACATGGCGGGGGTTCTGTTATGGTTTGGGCAGCCATATCGTGGTTCTCTGCTAGCCCCATGATAACTGTGTCAGGGCACATGACTGCCAGACTTATGTGAACATTTTGGCGATCAAATTCATCCCATGGTACAAACTTGTTCCCGATGGTGATGGTGTCTTCCAACGACAAAGCCCCTGTTCACACAGCTCACATTGTCCAGGACTGGTTTTCTGAGCACGAGGATGAGTTGTCCCATCTCCCCTGGCCACCACAGTCACCAGACCTAAATATTATCGAACCTTTGTGGTATACATTGGAACGGAAAGTGCGTTCTCGTTATCCACCGCCAACATCGTTATCTGAACTTGCCACCGTTTTGCAGGAAGAATGGTATAATATTCCCTTGGCAAACATACAGGAACTGTATTTATCCATTCCGAGAAGACTGCAAGCTGTTTTGGATGCCAACGGGTTTCCTACACCATATTAAGCAAAAAAAAACATGTTTTTTAAAGGTGTTTCCATATTTTCCATCATTATAATTTCATAATGATTTTCAAATCATATTAAGATTTTTCGTTTTTTCCCATATGGAGAATTGTTATTTTTTTCTGACAATTCAATATTTATTTCCGAAATTTCTGCATTCTCGTTTTCTCGTTGTCGATGTTATCTAATTTCTTCGTGATGATTTTCTTTTTTGTTGAATTCTCCAAATAGCTTCAGATTTTTCTCCTATAGTTTTGCTTCCGATATTTCGAATTTTTGCTTCTATCTTTTTTTTTTGAAATATGTATATATTCCCAGTTAATTTTCTTTTCCGATAACCTGTTATATACTTCATGCTATTTTGTGAAGTATCTAATAGGTTGTGGTATGTTATAGTTATGGTACGGATTTTGCAGGTACTAAAAATAAAGAAATTAAATCATTAGATTTAACAAAATAAGTGTTTTTGCTTTAGAATAAGTGTGAGCAAGCCCTATCGATAGTTCAGATCTGTGTAATAATGTGCTTCCCTTCGCCAAAAATTAATTTTTTTTATTCTGTTGCAGACTTTACAAAATTGAACGAAATGACTATTATAAAATGTTTATGTTTTGGGGCAATTACAAATTGTCAGTTTTTGTATTTTAGCTATTGATCTGCGGTCATAAGATCGATAATGATTTTTTGAGATGTGGAAATTAATTTTATGAATAAAAATAACTAATTTTATTACATATGATGAATAAATTAAAAAGAAAAATATTAGATATTTTATAGGAAATACAAATGATGAAACGCATCATTTCATCAGCCTAAAATGAGTTGTTTTTAAGAATATGCAACATTATACAATAATTTTTAAATTAAAATTTTTTTTAAAAATTTTGAATGATGCGTTATAGGTATTAATGAAAATTCCAAAATCTTACCATCTTTGCGTCTTCCAAGTCCGATGTGTAAGAAACGTGACTGGACATTACGAGTTAGATATTCTTGCACGAGTTTGACATCGTCGATTGAGTGGAAGCTCGTTAAATGGCCACCTGCGAAAGATCATTTCGGTGCAGAAGTTTATTATTTTCAAAAGGAAATAAATGAAATACTGAAGATTAATGTTATCATAACTGGACACATCTGCACGAAATATTTTCATCTGAAATATTTTGCGTAATACTCAAAATTTTCTTAGAAAGTAAATACAGCATTCTAAAGTTGGTCAAAAATCTTATTCTGTGCGCAGATCGCAGATTATATTTTGTATCCATTTACTGTGCTTACTAAAGTCCATATTCAGATATTATTTTTTCCTTGATTGTAGAAACATACTATTAAAATGTTTTGAATGACGCAAATGTTCGTGTTTCGGCATTTTTCAAAAATCCATTTATGAAAATTACGAAATCTGATTTTTTATACGTTCTTCAGTTCCTGTGGTTAGATGTAAGATAAATTTACACTCAGTGTGAAAAATAAAACATGCAAAGTTTGACTTCCGCTCGAACAAAAATTCTTCGAGGTATTTAATTTTAAATTATCAAAGCATGTTCGGGGGCCATTTACGAATAGAAAAGCTAAATGTTTGCATCTGTACGTAACTTAAAAAATGTCAGTTTAGAAAAACGTTTTCGATGACGAGAGATTAAGTGAAGAGCATTGCTATGCAAATATTTGTAAAAAGGATTATAGAGTACAAAATAGTATACTATGAAAGTATAAAATTTCTTCAATACAATTTTATGCAATTCTTGCTCTAGAAAATTTAGGGTGTCTATAATTAAAGGGCCTTATTTCAAGATTAAATCATTGTCGACACAATGCAGCAGCTGTTATAAAATAAGTTCACGAGATCGCTCTTTGTTAGTAAAATTATTTTACCAAAGCAGTAATTCCGCAGTAGCTGCTCTACGGAAATTTCGGACTCTGAAGATGATTTTAAGAGGTCCAATGAATCTTAAAACCCTTCGGGAAATGGAAATAAAATTTTAAGAAGGAGGATCGTTTTCTGTTCGTCCTGGAAGAGGAAGAAAATCTGTTTGCAGAAGCAGTATAGGAGGTTGCGCTTCAGGTCGTAGAGGCATGGAGGTAAGAAAGGCTAGGCGTTAACTTACTTCCTACCTCCATGTGTAGAGGACACAGCTTCAAACTTTCAGGGTAGCACCAGTGTCCGGCGTATAACAGAGGAGCTTGAGAGACCACCCTGAGCTGCCCATGAGATCTTCAGCATATCCTCCGATATTATTCTTACAAACTTTCACTAGTGCATTGGTTGCTTCCACATGATTTTGAGGCTTGACTCCGGTCTTCACTTCAGGTTTTTGCTCGCTGTGAAGTCGATACGGAATGGCATTGGAATAGCTTCTGAACAGACGAAGCGCCTTTTCGTTTGGACGTTGTACTCACAACTGCCGAATTTGGGAATCAGAAAATCCAAGTCCTGTCTTAGAGGTTCCATTGCATTCATCAAAAGGGACGGTATGGCGTGGATGTTCCACAGGTCTAGTGACATGCTACATCACCGAATAGCGATATGTATCACTGTTAGAGAACGAAATTCTGCAAGTGCGTCAGTGCCTTGCATGCGCAATCTTTATGGAAGATGAATCTCCGCTTCACATCGCACGGTGAGTTACGAACGCCCTTAAATATAATTTTACAGAAGAATGTGTTGGCAATTTCGTAATGTGCGGCCTCAAGATCCCCAGACTTCAGTCCATAAGATTTTTGGCGCTAGGCCCATTTGAAACATATGGTTAGTCGTGAAAATCCAAGAACTTTGCCTGATCTTAAAGCCAGCATTTCATGCCATTTCCCAGCACAGTTCGTCTAATCTGGAATATACTAGCTTGCGATTTAAGATGGTAGCTGAAAATAATGGCCATAATTTGGAACTTTTTTTTTTTTTTTTGTATAGAACTGTATAAAACTCTTGTAAAGGTATGGATATATGTATAATTTATTAATATAACGCCCTCTAATATTGCTATTTATAACTAATTTCTTTTTTTTTCGCTGAAAGAAATTCTCATCCCTTCATTAAGTCCGCGACAAAATTTCATGTTTTTCTGATTACTGGTTTCACTTGTCACTTTGAAATAGAGTTCGGTACTATTCGGTTTTGAGGGCCGTAAAAAATCGCCAAAGTATTGTTGATGCCAGTGGTAGCCAAAGTATTGTTGATGCCAGCCAAAAATAATTGCGGCAACCCTAATGCAAGAAAGGAAGTATAATACTAGTAAATAACTATCTAAGATTGAAGTTTTAATTTAGATGAAAGGTTAGTTTCATATAATACTTTTTTATTATTATAATCTACATAAAATAGGCTAAACATGACTAAATGGAAGCATAAAAGTAAATAACTATTTTAGATCATTATTATAATTTATATAAAAATTGCTAAACATAACTCAATGAATGCCTGCATCGCTATTTCGCTACTGAGTTATCGCTAAAGCAAAATTTCATCTCGTTGGTTGTTAAAACATAATTTTCTATAATGAATGATGCTTTTTCTTTGAAAAAATTCTCGGTAAAATGCAGGATCGCACACTTATTTGTTTGCCGCTTTTTTACGCGGGTAAAAACAATTGGATTTTTGTCAATTTTCTTTTACTTTTTAAGTGAAAATAGGTCGATGTGTACATAGATAAAGTCAAGGGTGTGCGCAGTGCCAATTTTGTGCAATTCTGGGATTTTTTTAAGTGAAAATAGGTCCCTGTGTACATGGATACCGGGTATCTGCAATTCTTAAAAACGCGTCAAGCAGTGGGTTATTCTGCACTTTACCCAAAATTCTATTGCAGACTTTACGTCATGGGCAATTCCCAAATTGTTAAATCCATAGGATATCAAAAAAGGATTTAAAATCAAAAAAAGATTTAAAATTAAACTAGTATTTCAATGGCGTCTTAAGAAATATAGAACTATATAAACTTACGCAATCTGAAATCAGCGCTTACGCTAGATTTGACGCGCTGTTAAATGGGCGCGTTTGCTAGATTTGGCGCATATATTTTCGCTGCAATTTTTTTACGGTCCTCAAAACGAAATAGTACCTACAGTTTTTTAATTATAGACTGTACTGTTAAGCTTCAGTCATTAAAAATTAATAGCCTTTCTAAATTAATAGATTTTTTGTATTAATAGATTGTTATTCTAAAATAATAAAAGTTCATGAAAATATTAATGCTTGAAAGAGCATTAATATAGAGCTTGAAAATTTTTATAAATTACTTGTATGAAAATTTTTTTGGCACAACAACTAAAGCAAAATTTTAAATTAAAGAAAGTTACACACTAGTAAATCACAAAAGGATGTTACTGAATGACATTTAAGCGAAAAGGAATCAACCTCGAATTATTCTGATTTACTTTAAACCAAGGAAGCTAAAACATGACGTCCAAAATTCGAAATTTTAAAAGTAAATATCTCGGTAAAATTTTGTTACACGGGAATCAAAATTTCTGTGTTTTATTTTTTATAATGAGTATAAAATTCTTCTAAACATATTTGTAGAGGTCGATAATCATATAACATATTTGATTTTATCATTTTTAAAGAACTGATTTTTTTAATTTAAAATGCCAAAATATGTGTGTATATTAAAACATTTTGTGATTAAAATTATATGTGCACGATTAACTGCTGTGAAAATAAATGCCACATTAGGACATCTGTGGATAGTGTCTCTTACTAAGAATATCCTAGTCCGAATCGTTTGCATCAAAATCTGAAAAGGTAGTAAATCACGCAATCGATTCACTCTTTTAAAAAATCCAGTCCATAAACTTGACAGATTAATTGCGCCATTTAAGTCACTTATGCCTCGACATTCGTTTCAAAAATGCTCTGTAACAATCCACCACTTTTGAAATCCACCACTTTTTATGATGTGTGTGTGTGGGAATATTTTTAAGTTAAATAAAAAAGCTGTTAATGAAGTGACTTTTTTTTTAAATCATAGGTCAATAACAAATCTATTATTCTTATTGGCTTACATGTTATAAAAATATTTCAAAATATTATACTCGCATCAAATGAGAAATAAGAGTGATTTTAGTAGCTATGAATGAAAACAGTACTGTCATAATGGTCAAATTTTTATGACTGAACTTAAGCTGCCATCTAAATGGAAAATCTACAGATTTTTTTATCGTCTCATATGAAATATGTGAATTTCTTTCAATTTCTACAGTTTACATCGTACACTCGTTGCATTATTGCCATCCCTGATCCACAGAAGCGTGAATGCAGAAAGAACATATCAAGTTCAACAAGAGTATATGTACAAGTGTAGATACTACATTTATATAAAAAAAAAAAAAAAAAAAAAAAAAAAAAAAAAAAAAGTACAAGTTTGTTTTGGATGTGTAATATGTAGCATGACTTCATTAGTATAGGGGAATTCGGAACGCTTATAAAAACCATAATTGGTATGGATCAAGAAGCTGATTATACGGATATTGAGAACATTGAGGAAGATAGCAATCCAGAATTTCAGTAGAATAAGCCTGAAAAGCTGATTGAAGCATTAATTAATAAAATTGAGAAAGAATGATTCAAACTAAAAGATAATTCGCGACATCACGAACTGGAATAATGCACCTTGAATTATTCCAGTTTCGTGAAGAAGAAGACTAGAAGAAGAAAATGAGGCTTAGTAATTCTCTAAGCAAAATCTTGGCATATCTGGAATAAAAAACTGGAATGATAAAGTGAGCGACTCGTAAGGAAGATCAAAATATGAAGCTATTGAATTACAAAGGACTGAGCTAACTAACTAAATAATAAAGCCGTATAAGTAAGCCATAAAAGATGACTACGAGTAAAGCAAAAGACGAGAATAAACTAAATGATGGAAAACTTTTAGTGGTAGGAAAAAAATTCAGGTTGTAGACATCGAAACCATCAAAAATTATTCTTCATTGTCATCAGAAGACTAAGATGACGACATGAGGAAACAAACTAAGACAGCACCAGTGGTCCGGAAGAAACGTTTTTGCCGAAGATACTTACAAAATCCGAATTAATTAATTCATTTGAATGCTTGCGGAAATGGAAATTAACAGGAAGGCACATGATATGCAAGACATAAGTTCATTTTTCCAGATGATTTTGTAAGATTACCAGATATTTATTTGCAAGATGTAAAAATGCTGTATCACTTTTACCTTATGCAAGCGGCGAAGCTAGTAGCGGTAGTTATCAAAGTGCTATTAAGAGACATTCCAAAAGAAATCGTAACATAAAATATTAATGATAAAATTCCGGAGTTTAAAAAAATTAACGGAAAATCATTAATCCTAAACTGCTTTACTGAATTACCCGGGACAACTTGAAGGCAAAGCAACCTACAATTGCTCATATAGTCTTAATTTCAGAATTAATATTTAGAGACACAAAGCCTGGTGCAGCCTTAACCATTATACATTCTAGCAGTATAATCAGTTAGAACCCAGAATATTGAGGTAAATGGATAAGTTCATACTGGAGCTATAGGTGAGAACTAAGAAAGGAAGGAAAACTTAAATGTCAATTTTCGGCTCACCTAGCCTATATAAGTTCTGTCTAAAGTCCCCAACAAATATTTTAATGGAGAAGAACTGTAAACTTGTTCACAAAGACAAAGATTTTAGGACCTTGTAAAGGAAAAAAAAAGACGTTAGCACCACTAATGAAATTAGCAGCAAAAATATAGTGAAGCCACTTTAAAAAAACCACTAATCGCCTGAAGAAAAGATTACCAGCTGGTTTAAATCACATGCTCTCAAGAAAAACAAAGCGAAAGCACAAAGCTGGCCTTCAAGACAAAAATTTATAAGATATCACCCGAAAGAAAACGAAATTGGACTAAATGTTGTCCAGATTCTCGACAATTTAAAAAAATTCAAGTTATTTCCAAGTCATTTAGGTCCTTGCACTGATATCCCCGCAAATAGGTTTACAAATTATGATTGTTTTTATGCAAGGGGAATAGTCATTCGGGACGTAACTATTATTCTATATCATACAAAATGATACAGGAAAAGTCTGTCTGAAATAAACGAACATGTGATCAAAACGCAGTTTTTGAAACCACAATGGACACAACAGAAATACAGAAGCTGTGAAGTGAATGAAAACAGATTAAATTATTGATAAAGATTAATTCTATTACTGGAATCAGAAATCACTTAGAAAACGTGAGCCTAAAACAGAGGAAGAAATTTTTATCGATTATTGAAGTGGGCAACTATAGGTTTTCAACATAGCAACATAGCAAAGATTAGTTTGCAAACATAGCAAAGACTGAAGGACTAATAATACATTAGATATATATGATAGATTTGTCTGTGTTGCTATATCTCGCCCCGATTTCAACAGTTTCACTCCTATTTGAATACATATAAAAATTTAGTTGTTGTTTTAAGAGTAACTATCTCAACAAGACAGTGCTTATATGGAAGCAAAGTACAATACTGGAGAAATGGAACTTGTATGTGAAGGTTATTTATTGTTGGATACTTATGCGAATTAAAGCCTAGGAAAGAAGATCAACGAAATAAAGGTATGAATTTTTATAACTCATTTAATATAATCATTTTTTTAACTCGGAATAGATTTATGATTCATCAATTTTCTATGTTTTAATAAAAAAAAAAGAATGCACTATTATTTTTTAAAATAATAATTTAATTTCCCAGATTTCTTGGTTTTCTATATCGTAAATGAGTAATAATGAAAATAAATGTTATGTTTGGATTCAGCAGAATGAAAACTATAAGGAACATTTAAAGTATACATAGAGAGGATTCACAGAGAGGATTAAAAAAACGCATTTGAACATAAAAGAATGTATATACTAGCAGGAGTTAATTCATAAAAGGAATAATTTCAGAAGCGTTTAGAGTAAGGTAGTAAATTAAACAAACTGCGTTAGTTTTTTTTCCACGTGGTTCATGTATATGTCATTCATTATATATGTCTAAAATTAAGAACAATGCGCAAATGGAAGAATCTATATAACAAAGATTCTTATTTACACTCAAATCGATATGTCAAGGACTGACAAATAAAAAAATTAAAAGTTAAAAAAATGGTAGTAATATTTTATATAAAAAAAATTCTAGCACAAATGACCGTTAGCCCAAAAGGGCTATTAGTTTCAAAATGGAATTTTGCATTCAGTCACTTTTTAAATTGTTGCCACTAAATATGATCTCCTTGTATTATATTTAAAGAAGTTAAATAATGAAAAATCTGCATAAATGTATATATGTTTCTCGCACTATAAAAAAAACGACGATACCTAGAGGCATCAAATTTTGAATAAGGTTTCTTCCCCCGAACATGTGCAACTGGAAGCCCGGATTTTGAATTTCGAATTTGTATTATTATCTCTTCATATTTTGTAAAACTTTAACGAATTTTTTTATTAATAAACTCAACGATTTCAAAGAGAGCAATAGCAACTAAGTACGGAAAAATACATTTTTATATCCAGCGCCCGAGACTGTCTATCGGAAATTCTAAAGATATGCTGTTTTAAATATTTTGAGATATTGCTGTTGAATTGAATTTTACATGACTTAAGTGCGAAGAACACGATATTTAATAAATAAAGGTAATTAGAAAAACTTTTAAAAAAAGTCCTTTTGGACGTAATATAAAAGGTTGTATTAAAGTTATAAGTTAACTTTAAAGTTAAACTTTATATTAAATCAGTATTAAATAATAATAGTAACTTTATATTAAAGTTATGCATAAGTTAACTTTATATTAAAGGGTTATATTAAATTAAAAAAGTGTTATATTAAAGTTTAAAAGCATTAAAATCATGCTATTTAAACTGTAAGAAAGTATAATAAAATAAAATTTTTCTGTGCTGGTAAAATCACATGCAAGTGATGAAATTTTCATTTTAGAAGTCTTAGAGTGAAATTAATGGAACACTTGAAGTTTTATAACTGATATATTAAGGGTACGAAAACACGAATTTAATTTTACATCGAATGCATTAATAGAGAGTGAAATGAATTTTATATCTGTGTGCTTCAATGTCACTTTAACTACTATCATTTTATCAAATTAAAAGGAATATTAATTTTTTAGTCTTGAACACTTTGCAGGCACTTTCAATATGCTTTTCACTTTGAAATTTGATTGTGTTGACTTTTTTGAACAGCTACTGCTTTTCCCTTTACAGCAATTAACTTATATCAGAATGTTTTTACTATTCTCTCTCTACTATAGTAAAATAACGAGGCATATTTTTCTTTTCTATTATCTTAATAATATGGCATATTACACATAAATAATTTTTAAACATTATTGACTTTTAAATAAGTTTGATAAAATTTTTTAAAGAAATGATGGTTTGAAAATAAAGCAGGGAAGTATCAATGACGAGATTTGTTTACGAATAAGGACTATAATAAATCTACATTTTTATAAATGATAGCGTACATTTCTTGATACAGTTATTTATTAATAAAATGACACATCAGGCATATGGAAATCACTATACATCATGTACATCGAATTCTTTCTGTCTGAAATAAAAACGCTTCTGTTAAACCTTGTTATAGTATTTTATGTTTTTACAAACATAGCAAACAATAAAATTTAGAATAACACATAAATGCCAGCATAATTTACAAAAAATTAAATATTATTTTAATATCACGAACCATGTCTGAAACAATAAGCCATAGCCTCATTCCAAGTTAATCGCTCATTTTCTTTAAATAAATAGCAGCTACTGCCTCCTATATCTTCCCACCCACCGGAGCTGTTTGTACACTCATGTTTTTTCGTCGGTGTAACCTCTTTGTCAAGATCTGTAAAAAAGTTATTCATAAAATAAAAATAACGAAAACAAACCTTTTTGAGGGAAAAGTATCATTAGGAAAAGTTATAAGCTAAAGCGAAAATATTTCAGAATATGGAAATAAGGATTTTACTAGAAATTTATTTACTTATTTAAACTTCAGAAAATTATCTAAATGCATCAGTACCAAACTGATATACAGGATGCCTTTTTAAGAATTAAAATGATAAGCTAAATTTTCTTAAACAACTTTGTTTACGGCGTTTTCCAGATTATTCACATTTTAGTGGTAAAAACGTTTAGCATCATCTGTCATCATTTTTGCTCGAGAGGCAACTAACAATATGTAATGTGCATTACATGGTATATTGCCACTGAACTTCTCTCTGCGGAACAGTTTTTACAAACTGATAGTAATTTCCGTCACAGCGGCTAACTTTTATCAATGAGATTTTCAGAAACTTTTTTGCACGTATATATCTTCAGGATGATCATCTTCACATTCTATATGAATCTCTTTTTCTTCTCCAATTCTTAAGTATCGTTGTTGGGGCTACTCATTTAAGTCTTCTAATTTTTCCATATCGAGCTCACTGATAGTTTTGTTAATTAACTTCTAGCCAAATTTTTAATGTACCTAGTTTGATAATTGGAAAGCACCTTGTCGAAAGGAATGGTTCGATACTCCAAACCGTTTCAGTTACATTTTGCTAACAACGTGAATCAATTGATGATTATGATCTTAATCGATAGTAAAGAATCAGATAAATCCATTACAGTACAAGAATTCTTAACCCTTTCCAAGCATTGACATCTTTTAAAAGAATAGATTTCTTCATCGATCCCCTTACACTTTTCTCTATATTATGCGACATACGTCACGGTCATAGTACAAATAATTGTTCATAAATAGTTAAAGATAAGAATTTAATTACAAATATGACAACAATTTGAAGCGAAATGCTTTATTAGATTTATTTTTTATTATCTTTTGCATCATTATTATTTTTAATTTTATAAATAGTAACAAGCTTTCAGAAACAAATCAAAAAAATATCTTAATTACATAAAGGTTCGATTTTAATTAATATGAAGGCTGCGCTTGAAGTGTTGATGCTCTTTTTTTTAACATTCGGCATAAAATTCCTAAACTTTATTCGTAAACCAACTTGTTAAAAATATTCACTTTGCTTCTGCTTTTTCATAGTAAATTATTGATTTGTCTAAAGTCTGTTTTTAGTATTTAAGAAGAAGGAGAGTCAATAGTGTTAGTATGGTAACAAAATTTATTTTGTGATTTATTTCTTTCGGATGACATTTAAATTCTAAAAGTTAACGTACTCGAGTGTTTTGAATGAAATTTCTGCTTGAAATTTCATTCAAAACATGGAATGCATCATAATATCAATATCAGATAAATCGCCGTTCGGTTCTATGAGCTATGCTGGTATATAAAAATTTTCAGTGTCCTTTGCAGGCATATGAAGATTTTCAATGTTCTGAAAGTGAACGTTAAAATCGTTTAAATTTTGCAGGTGGTTTGTACATAACATTATATCTTCTGATGAAATTACGATGCTTTTAAATAACGGGCGATCGTTATATTACGGTTGATAAGTTTTGCATTCTTCGTATATTTTTGGTTATGCTTTCTTATGTTTCTCATTTTACTACTTTAAATCGCACTTATTACATAAAAAATATATGCATTTAAAAACGTATTATTGCTCTTTTAAATATATCGATTTTATTGTATTTTGTCCTTTATATTTATTTCATACGCTTTCTTCCTTACTGCATTCCTCTTTATATCAATAAACAATTAATTATCAATTTTAATAATTATTTTTGTAATCATGAGGATTTTTATTATACCGATCAGGGTGTCGCATTATATTCGCCTACCGATCCTCAATAGACTCCTTGATCATCACTGACTCAAATACAATACTCAAATACAATGTTGGAAACCTATGGTCTAGTACTCGTCTGAAATTCGAAAAACAGTCTCTTTGTAATGAATCAGCTTATATCAGGCCAAGGTTAAATGAAGCCTGACTATGTATGACGGGTGAAGAAATTATGATAGTTTGAGGTCTATCCACTTCAGAAAATTCAAGTGAAGATCACTTACAAGATGAGGAGGGACAGCATGAGAAGGGAGAGTCTTGTTTTAGTAGAAATGGAAATTGTTGTAAGACAAATGCTGCTTCATTGCATAAGTAAGATATTACCTTTCTCCAGCTGATAGTATAACGCTCTTCATTACGTGTCATTTAGTAACTACCCTCTTTTGGCACTTTAGTAGTTAACGGAGGCTAACTGCTGATCTGAATTTGAGAGCACGAGTTCAAATCACGCTTCAGGTTTGGCTTCTGGTGTATGCCCTTTACTCTCTTTTCGCAGGTATGATATCAGTTGCATTCTGTACACCATGAGAAGCGCTTTCGATGATGAAAGGCTGAATGACAGATAGTTCGGCCATTCTCGACGAATGCAAGGAAATTGGCTTGCATTTATATTATACTTGGAGAAAATCAAGCAAAACGCTCATGTAAGCCTGTTTGAAGAATTCGAACTCGAATCGAACTGACAGTGTTCAGCTATCTTATGTACTTTGCCACTGGTGAAGCAACCAATAATTTACATCCCCATATATTAATATTTAAAAGTCCAGAATAGTACAGAAGTTATTGAAAATGCTCATTGTTCTCGCAAAATGTGTAATTTATTGACAAAAATTACGTAGATGACACATCGAAGATTGATTAAATTTGTCAAAATTCAGAACACAGAAGTACCTTCTTACTTTAAAAATTATTTTGATACTTTATTTTCTAAAATTCCAGAATTATTTAAAATAATAAGCCTGGGTATAAATTAATTACTAGAATTCAATTAAATGGAACATAATATTTTTTCTTTTGTCTGTGTTATGAAAGTCTTTACGCTAAACAAAAACATTTGTTATTAAACTTAACAACGTTATTAAATTTAACAGTGTTATTAAATTTAATAAATGTAAATTTAAACAGTGTTATTAAATTTAACACTTATCTTCTTTCGTATTACCTCAATGCAAAAACAGGTCAAGGTATTTCAGAGAATTGGCAGATCCTCTTCTTTAGCAGAAACAAGTACATCGAGAATAATGACGGCATCATTTAGATTACATTGAATGCCTTTTTTATTGAAATCAAAGCAAAATTAAAAGGTTAATTTCTTTAATTATTAACATTCAGTTGGTGTGTGTCTATTGCAGCGGTTTCTAATCTCTTCATTCTTTTACTTCGTTTAAATTTCTTACTGCTATGAATATATGTGACGCTCTGAAATTTGGAAAACTAGGGATACGATTAAATATCTGATTTGCTTTGAGAGCATATGGAGATACGATTTTAAAGTACAAATGCCCTCCTACTCTGAGGTGAAGATCATGTGACAAAAATTTTTTTTAATGGCCGGTCGCTTTATTTAATAGCTATTAGCCTTGCGCTACTACAAGGTCCGGAAATGGTGACCATTTCGTTACGGAAGCACCTAATAAGTGGCCACTGTTCCTCCTCTGAACGGACGGACAGTTAAAACCATGCCTTCTCAGCGGATTCGAACCCAGGCTCATCGCTACGGCAGTCGAGGTCGGAGGTCCATGCGACGGCGTTTCAGTCACTAACCACTGTACCGGCTGGGGGGCTTCAAACAGTTGAACGTACATAGATACTTGCTCTACTGCTTAAAGAAACATTAACTTCATATTTCGAAATAAAAACATGAGAAAATGTTAGAGTAATGACTTTAGAGATAAATTTCCTATTGAATAGTAAATATATTTTGATTAGGAAACTGAGGATAAAGTTTGAATAGTAAACGAACCTATATTCCATTCGCAAATGAAAGGATGTTGTTCTTGACAACTTCTAACCAGCCAGCGGTTATTGTTATTGATGACGACACAATTATCCATGGGTATAGAAGCTTTCTGAGGTTGTCCAGGTATCCAATTACTATTTACCAAACGTTGACCTGTTACCATTACATATGTATCCTCTTTCTGTTTAAAAAAATAAATTTTGAACTAAATGATTGCTTAAATTGAATTATAATTATAAAAGATAAATATTACTTAAAAAGGAAACTTTCAATGTAATTAAGAAATAAACTAAAACTGATTATTAATCATTTAATAAAAACTTCCTGTTATGTCATCAGTAGTCTTGAAAGACAAATAAATGACTTCGGATCGTTACCATTTCTCTCATTCCTGTCCAATAATATCCATCATCGAATGTGTATCTTCTTCTCAGAAACAAACCAACAGTAGTAATTCTAAAGGAAACAAGATTTGCTTCGTACGTCCGGCATTCTGACTGCGCTTCGATCCACGTTGAGTTTTTATTGAATACTTTATAGCAAGATGAACCTAATCGACTCCAGCCTTTAACAGTCTCACATGCGAAAGGATCTTCGGAAGGCTGTGTTATTCGAGGATCTATTAAAAATTGAGTTAATGTTACCAATGGTCCGAAAAACATTGCCTCACAATTAGTTATTTAAAAAATTCATTATGCTGATTAGTTGAGCTGTATGACTATTAGTCATTCAATCTCCTTTACATTATTTATTATAATTATAAATTTTACAGATTTCAGTTTACTAATACAATGACTTGTCACTGTTATGCATTTACAGAGTATCAGAAATTTATTATATTTTGTCAATGAAAATTGAACATCAAGGTAAAATATCAAATTTATAAATTAAATAATGAAGGTTAAAATGAAACCGATATATTTAAAATTTTATGCAACTTGAAATACACGGTGCATATGCAAAGTTTTAGAACTAATTGTTTTAATGAATTCCAGAAAACCTGTCAAGCGATAACTGAAAACTTTATTAAGATACCTTAACATATTTTACCTAAAATATTTTTTGCTTGCGGACAATATTATCTGGGCAGTCACTCGTTAACATTCGTTAACTCATAAAATCACTCTGAATCGTTAACTCGTTAACGATTCAGAGAACATCTGCTGTCATGAACTTGAAAGTTAAGTAAAGAATAGGTGTAAAGTTTTGCTTTAAAGTGAGGAAAATAGCAAAATGTTTGAAACAATCTGTGTCAGGGGATCGAACTTAGTGTTTTAATTATGATCTTGAGACATAATAATGGTTCTTTGCTTGGGTTTGGTTCACCCCAACCACGGAGTGTTCACCACTGAAGGTTCACCGCATAGACTTCGGTTTCAGAAATCTCGGGCAACGGCGGTATTGGCCGCTTTTTTTTTTTTTTTTTTTTTTATTAGAAAGGAATAAATCTGAAGGAAGTTGTGTTTGAGGGACAGATGATGAATCTCATATTTCATAAACAGGTGATGAAGAAATGTTGAAAAGAATTCAGCGTGTTAGACCTCGAAAAGCTTAAACTAATAATTGGTTTCTTGATTCAGAAAACCGTAAAAAGAGACTTAACATTATTCCAGAAGATGAGGTCTATGAAGTAATCAAGCAATTATGAGGCTAAACTTTTGTAAAGGCATAATCTCGGAAGTCGACCTTCTGTTTGTTTCTGATGAAGAGCTCCTTTACGAGCTAATCGATCTAAATGTCTATGCTGCCAGGCGGATCAAGATGTGTAAGGAAGGTCAACATGAAATACATGATCCTGACCTTCAAATCGCCTAATTAGTAGCTAGCCTTCAATATACAAGGACTGTATATTGAAGCATGTTGTTTTCTTCAACTTTTAATTCTGTACATATTCACTTTGTACCAATACTTTGTAGACGCACTGGGTATATTCCTGTAGAGTATACGTATTTTACTCAGTGCTTGAGTTTCACATAATGCTGATATACAATATATTTAACATTTAGGAACTTGCTTTTATAGTGGCTTTTCCTATAATTTTTACGAAATTTGTGTAAAAAGTAGATAGAAATAGGTAGAAAATAGCGCCCAAATTGAAATTATAAATTTAGTAAATAAAAATTGCACTCTTCAAAATATTTATTTTAAACATGCAGAATCTTTCATTTGTGGCACGTATATTGCAAGACATTGATTTTATTGACCTTGCATTTTTGGACGCCGTGTATATTTAGTTATAAAGAAAATCATTCATATTCCTATTTGTTAACTTTTTAATTGAATTTACTGTTGAATATTGGTCAGAACAATGTTCAAGACAGTTTTATAGAATTTCTGTGAAATTTATCTTAATTACTAATTGGATGCTTTTTATGCTAAGCTTCGAAAGTACATTTTCCTCCACTTGTAGGATAAATGAAACTTATCACCTTTAGATTTCTGGCATACATAAGCATTCTTTCTGTAACATCCGCAGCTATTCCACTTTCCCATCGCTTCAACTTCGTGCAAAACTTCAACACAGGAGTTCTAAAAACAAACAAGAAGAGCTTATAATGATAAAATACATACACGCACATATATATGTAAAATAAAAATATGAAAGCACACTTTTGATTTTAATTGGCTATAACCTCTTTTATTTTTTTATTTAATTCGGGGACTTCCTCTCTCTATCTAAAAAATAGCGCTATAAGTCTAAACATCGTAATTCAAATTAATCATGCGATCCTATGTAACGTTTAATGCAGATACCTCTTGCCCAATCACTAAATTGTAAACCAAAACATTTTTAAATCGAACTGAAACTTTTTGACTCCCCCCCCTTCTTCCTCTGAATTGCTGCGACACTTTCGTTTACGCTTCTCTCCTGGCAAGACGCTTTGCTGCTACCTTCTTTGTTCACTGAATATGTGCTGAGCTAACAAAAATGTAGGGCGCATAAGATGCCCGTCTGTATGTGAACCAAATATTGCGAATCCAGAGCTGCTTTCCTCAGTAATAAAATTATCTTGAATCCGGTCATGACTGTCTTGCCAAGTTTCTTTCCTAGGTATTTATTACGCCCCCACCAAGTTCCAAATCATTCATATCATGTCTGATATATATATATAGGAATTCAAAACAGTATTTGGATAACTAAATTGGATTTAAAATATCCATTAACTTTCACTCGTATCATCAATCGAAATTTAGTTGTAGAGACATTAGGTATTTTTTGAAAGCAGGAGAGATGAAAATTGAGCAATACCCTTGCCGGTACAAGAACCACGGACCTCTCGAATACGCACTGAACGTGCTGATCACTACACCACGAAGGCATGCTAAGAAGGCGGGAGAAATACCTTATATATTACCTCTTTTAGAGGGCGACTGAGAATTAGGGAACCCAATCGCCAAATCCTGGTGGTGGAGAATCATCAATCACCACCTTTTTTTAGTTACGGCGTCACTGTAGAGACATTAGGTATTTTTTTAATACAGGAGAGATGAAAACTGAACAGTGCCCTCGCCGGAACTCGAACCACGGATCTCTGGAATACGCGTCGAGCCTGCTGACCACTACACCACATAGGCATGCTAAGTAGGCGGAAGAAATACTTTATAAGTTATTAAAAAACACCTTTTTATTCCCATATCATTCCACCGAGAGCAAGTTAAGTCATCAAATTCTCACCTCATGCTCATTTGCTGCTGGCTTATTAAATTCCTTTATAACTTTTTTACAAGCTAATTAAAGAACGTCCTAACAAGAGCGGTTTGCTTTATTAGATTGAGGCAAAGTACTCTTCGGCTATTTGCTTAAATCAAGGGATGCTTCGTGGAAGGACATTGGTTCTTATTCATGTTACACATTGGTACTGCCATTGAACCATCTAGAATCGAGACCAGGTAGAACTATTAGTATTCAGCGATTTTACTGTTCGGACGCTGACGTGACCCCAATAAGAGAGGAAAATTTAAATTTGGCCCATTTTTCTGGTGTTACGCTTTGATAGAAAAGCAGTTATAACAGTTCAATAGTAGACATTTCTAAATTATTAAAAATGAATCACTATTCCACTCAACAACACGTTCTTACTGTTAAGTATTATTTAGAAAGGGTTAAATTTTGACTGCCCTGATTCGAAAATTGCCTCCAATTTTTAGTAAACAGTTCCAAGTGCATGAGATGTAAAGATCATAGTAAAAAAATTCCAGGGAACTGGGTTGATTACTGATGTCAGCCTATCGAGATGTATTCGTCGAGGTAGTTCAACAGAAAGCATCACGGTTGTTTGCCAGAAGCTGGTCGAGAATTCGGGAACACCCATTCAACATTGTGCTCAAGAACTGAACATTTCAAGAAGCTCTATGCAGAGTATTCTCACGAAAGATTTGTGTCTTCATGTCTATGAAGTTAAACTCAAGTCTGAGACCTTGGGAACAACAATTCAAGTGTAAAACCATGTAAAGGGAAGAGAGTGAGTCAGTTTGGGTCACTAAACAGCAAAACATGAATGAGAAATTTCAAACAAAATCAATTTTTATTGATGGGGTCTATTTTAATGTTAATGGCTTCCTAAACAAGCAAAATTGAGTCATTTAGAATGACAAAAACCTTTAGGTGATAGGCATAATGGACTATTTTTCTCAGAAAACGCTGGTAGAAATGCACAAAGAATCACTAGCAAACGATATCAAGGAATGATATAATTTTTTTTGTGCCTCAGATATTTGGTATGGATCTCGAAGACATGTAGTTCCAATAGGACGGTGTCATTTCCACATATCACCAGAAACAGTAGCATTATTACATGAGACACTCCAATGGTCATCCAGTCTTTCGTTTGGGCAACTTAGTATTGGCACCTAGATAGTGCGATTTAATGCATTTCGTATTCTTTCTCTGGGTTTTTTGAAGTCAAACATTTATGTCAACAAGCGCATGACCACTCAAGCCTTGGAAGAGGCGTTTAGAAGCAGTATCACAAAATCTAGTCACGGTTAGCATATTTCACAAGTGCACATCTGTGTAGCCACCCAGGAAGTGGCTTCTAGGATGGACCAATGAGCATCCGGTAATATTTCTGTCATGTCACTTGACCTTTCCGGTGCTTTAGGATTTAAGCAAGATGGTTAAAAATACTCTGCCACACAATTTTCTGTAAAAAATGATTAAAGCATCGTCGATAGTTCCTGAAACTTTTCATTGCTAAGTTAGATCAAATATAGGCAATTATGAAGATTTCACTACCTGGTTGAAATAAATATAAACACATATTGGATACTTCGCAAAAATATCGATGTGAAATATTACTTAATAAGTTGTAAATAAGATAAAGAAAGAAATATGTGATAAACATCTGAGTGCAAATGCAATCTTTACTCTACGCAAATCAATCAAAAAAATATTATATGTAAATAGAAGTCAGCACTTTTTATTGCAGTCTGTATGAAAAATGTTCTATAATAATCACCAATGCAGAATTTTATTCAAAGTGAAATTTACTAATTTTCATTCGTATACATTTAGTGTGTTAAATTTCACATTTAATAACTGCTGTACAAGAAATACTCAGCAATCAGAGTGAATTTATCTTAGTCACAACGAATATATTCAATTTATTCACATATAGCTTTTAATTTTAACAATGAATATAATCAGATCATATGTATTCTGAATCTTACACTTTCAAAATCAAAAGAATGCAAGCACTGAAATAAGAATCACTGGATTCATTGTAACACTTCCAGTCTTCCTCAGCTAAATTATATATACATATATACTCTTTTAAGATAATTCTACTTTAATTAAACTTAGGAGATAATATAATCAATTAATCAATACTGTTTAGGAAGTAAATTATATATATATATATATATATATATATATAAACTATACACTTGAATCCTTTTAATCCGCAGGTGTTAGTAAATGCATATTATTCGAGGCTAATTGTAGCTGAGTTATTTTCTCGATGTTTAGAGCGATAATATGCCGTGAACATCAATCCAAATATTAATGCGTGATAAAATATCGCGAAAGCGAACTGTCAGCAATTAATTAAACTCACAAAACGAAAGCACTACTAGATTTTCTACTACTATGCCATACATTTATAACTGCGAAACAAATATTAATTAAAACATAAACGACATACCCTCATATGCACGAAGATTTAGCGGCACAAGAGCAATAGAGGCTCATTGGTCCATTTTCGAAACCCCTCCCTCAATGTCTACGCTGATGTGCAATTGTGAAATATGCTCACGGTTATGCCATGACGTGATTGAATATTTCGTTAAAAAAGTAAATTCTCAAAAAAAAAAAAAAAAAAAAAATTAGAAGGACATTTATCGGATGTGTGCATAATTCTCATATATCTACTTTATGATTAAATCAAAGTGCATTTTTTAAAATTTAAATTTTTTGTTTTATTTTCTTTGGTATCTGCCTTTGATTAATCAGAAAACAAACTGGAATCCTACTTATTTAACGGCAGTACGAATTAAATATGCCGGCATCATACTGGATCTAAATCAAACACGGGTCCTCATAAGTTTGGAGGCATCTATATTTCAGGGCATTCCATGAAAATAATTGCCATCAATACGCTCAACACTCTTAAGGCTGTTGAAATTTCATTTCTGTTGGAGACATGGAGGGAAAAAGGAATATTTCTATCTTTATCAGTCTGAGTATTTTTCATGAACCATTATGCAACGTTTGCTATAATTTTGCGCATAACCTTTGAAGATTTAACTGGATTGATTTGTGTAAAAACCGTTAAATTCCACCGCAAGTTGTCGTTGTAAATCACGAAGTACGTGCCTTTCTGTTCTTAGTTGAAAATAATAAAGGGTTATTTTCACCCTTTTTCTATGCTGGTTCACTCCTGTTCGAGAAGTCGCCAGGTTCTTTAGTAGGATCTACTGAAGTTTATGTGGCCAAAGAGAATTAGTACATTTCACTTGGAGTCTAAGGACACTTGGCACCAGTTTGAAACCGGACACAAAACTTTCATGAATTATTCAAACTCGATACTGAGTTTGAACTTCGACAAGTCTGTGTCTTATGTTTTCAATAGTTTTAACAAGTTCAACAGAAACTAAATTTGCCGAACATTTGTACTCTGGCTGAATAAAGAGAATCTGGTCTTCCTTGCTTTTTAATCCATTTAACAATTAATATTGCACTGAAAAATTAAAAGTTTAGTAAAAAATTATTAAATGAAATGAGAGCTCGTACAAATGAAATATTTAAGTTTATTTTGGATTTTCATTTATTCAAATTTTACTGGGACTCTACTGAAACGGCTTATAAGACTTCATATTAAAAGTAACGATAAAGAGGTTTTTCAAATGAAATTGCCAGTTCAGTAAAAAACAGCCACTTCTGACGAGAATGTCTAACAAACCGTACAGATCATGATAAAGGAAATTAAACCTGGAAACCTTTGTTCTTTAATTCGAAAATTTTCTAAATTAAAGAGTTAATTTATTTTGTTTTCTAAATACAAGAAAGTGCTGAAAAATTTTACAAAACAAAGTATAATAATATTGATAATTTAATATATATGAGAAACTCATCGTAACGTAATAACAGTACGTAAAAACGTAAGTGAATCATCTTCACGCTAAATGTTGTGCCAAGATACTTCAAAATTGCGTCAATTTTCAGGGAATGTCTCTTCTTTTAATGTGTTTTTAATAATTCTTTTAATATTTTTTTAATCTTTCATAATTCGTTTTGAATTAGATTATAATGAAATTCATTACATTTGCAATTAATTAATTACCTTAAATTTTATATGGTAATTTAGGTATAGAAGTTTTGCGATTTTAAATTGATACACATATTTATTCATACATTTGTATCAAACCTTATTAAACAGTTATTTTGAATTAAATATTTAATCTATTTTTTTCTTAAAATATAAATATAAATATAAATGTTACTAAATATACAGAAATAATTTACCCCCAATATAAAGTCTTGAAGTTAGAAATTATGAAAAAACAATTGCTTAGAATATTTTGAGATAGGACTCAGACTTATTTTTCTTAGAGTACTGATTTTTCCCAAACCTTATACAGATTTCGTGTATGATAAACGAAACTAAGAAGCAAAGTGTAGACTAAGAAATAAATAACCTTTCTCTCCGTCTCATTAGTGCAGCGTTAAGTTTGGAAAAACTAATACAGATTTCGAGACCATTTCAGAAGAAATAATCATCCATATCATTTCTCTCTTCTATATATATAAATATTTTACACATAACATCTGTACACATTTATAGACATTAATACACACACATATACTATATTACACATATATAAGAGCTGATAAAATAATATATAATATATAAGACACAATGTAAGATTTTACACAAATTGTGCTTTTAGTTTTCTTTTTGAACGCCTACACATCTGAAGAATTTTCAGAAGTTGTTAAATGACGGGTTATTTGTTTTATAGAGTTTTATATCTCATTACACACATCCAAAAGGTTCAAGGAAAGATACTTCCCCCCTAGGTTTTAAAAACTGAAAATGATTAATATGCATTACATACCTCTACTTCGAATAGGCCTTCTAATTCATCATCCTGAGAGAATAAATAATATTATCAAAATAAATTAAATGAGAATTAATATAAAACATTGGATAAGAAGGGTAGCTATAAAATAGTGAACAAAAATGCCTGTTGTATCAATGAACATTTTATTTTATTACACGCATATATGTCATACTTTAATGCATATGAGGAATCAGCTGGTAGACGTCATGGCCGGGTTTGAAAGCGTAGAGACGAAGATGACGAAACTCATGTTTTATAAATCGCCTATCTTTACTTTCACACATATCCAGTTAGTTTGGCAGACACTTATTCAATCATAATAAAATATGATAAATTTCTATGTCACTGGTTTTTAAAGAATTGACACAGGCATTTGAGAAGCGAAGCAGCGCGGTGTTGTCAGAGCAGCAGTTAGGGAAAGGAAGAACAACGTATTTAACTTGCCAGCGGTATTTATACCAAAGTAGATGCAGTTGTATAGATAAGCTGTGATTGGTTAATTTTAGGTTGCTATAACATAGAAGAATCTCGAATTTGGGTGAACAGATGAATTTAGGGGGACAACACCAAATTTAGAATAGTTAATTTTGAGGTCGCCAATTATTTTTAAAGCAGCTACCGTATTTTGTTATATCTTACATATATATATTGCTAAAAGCATTTTTTCAGAAACATTATACTTATCTGAGAATATCTGGGAAAAATAAACAAACTTATTATCTACATTTATTATATGGTTTTGATTCTTCTCCTTACGGGACTATTAGAATTACGCACCATAAATAGAACCAGCCTCTCAAAAATTAGCTTTTAGAAGTAGTATATTATTATAAAAGAATGAATTAACTAAGTAATTGAATTTATTTAAAAATTATTCAACATATTAGTTTGCTTAATAAAGTGTTAAAATCATCTAAATGGAATTCGTAATAATAATAATAATAGTAACAACAGCAATAAAGTCAGTACTTTGGATCTGATATTCAAAATAAGTTAATTACAGCCAGATTATTCGGGAATCGTAAATAAAATAATGCATATATTTGCCAATTTAATTTAAACCCGATTTGAGTTAATAAAGATTTCTGGAGTGATACCTAAGCATTTATTAAGTTCTTTCTATTGATATACAGTATTAAAGCAAAGCTAATAAGCTTAAGAAATATAATAGCTACAGAATGGGGAAGTTAAGCATACATTTAAAGGGTTACCAAGGTCAAAGTTATAACATTTATGCTATATAGCGTAAGATTAATATTTTTCTTAACTTTATAGAAATTCGTTCTCTCCGCCCTACCGTGTTCTAAGTCGATAATTAGAGGAAATACTTTGAAATTTTTTTCTATTAACTTTAATAAAGTTTGCACATAAAGTCTGCCAGGTGGGTCGGGCTGCGTCCTTCATATCATATCATATCATATCAGTTAGAAATCGCATATTGACTCTTTAAGACCTGTTAGATACCATTAAATGAAATCTGATGAAATGTGTGATCTTCTTAATTATATTTGACATTAAAGACGAAGAAACTATTTGAAGCTTATAGTAGTGCTAAACAGTAGAACCCCCCAAATCTATCTGTTTTTATTAGGAAACTGCAGTAGCAGCATCATTTATCATTTTCATGAGTCTTTGTAATATTACATTTTAAACTCAGATTTAACATTAGCTCAGTTTTCAAAAGCTCCCACTTTTCGCTTTTATGAAGTAGAATTCGCAAAATATTTTAGCTGAGATTATTCTTTAGAAACCGACGTCATCATATTTCAACTATCAACAAGAAATTATAATCAAGTCTTTAAAAAATTATCTTTACTAAGCTATATGTCACCGCTATGGGACATTAATGTTATATCTAAACATTGTCTGAACATGAAGTTTAAGAAACAGAATGTCATCGAGACGTTTCGTGCATATTTGACCATCACGGGACTTATAGTAATTTTTTTTCTTTTCTTTCTTTCTTTCTTTTTTTTTTTTTTTTTTAAACTTTTACCCTGAATAGAAAGGCTGAAATTGGACGACTTTTAAAAGGCCTCAAGAGGGAAAGACTAAAATGGGACATAACCTTAATACTTAATTGCAAATCGACAACCAGTTGGTGGTACGACTGAGACTCCTTGCTTCTTTTCTCTGTCATTTATATATTCGCCTGTACTTTACAATTCAGCGAAAAAATATCTTTCAGTTTTGACTTAAATATGTAAATTATGTTTTGATTTATGATCTTTTTGACGATCTGATATTGTTAACTACTAAATAAGTTAAGCTGCCTTACCTGGAAGAGTGAGATTACTATGTCGTACTGATATGCTAATATGTCACGAAAAGTGATTTCGTTATTTTTAGCTACATATATACTACCAAACTGCAAAAAGTGTAGACTAATTATTGTGGTTACTATAGCACACTGATATGGGTAAACAATATTAGGTGAAATTTTAATCTCAGCAATACTAAAAATAGTTTGAATACTGCATGAAATTATTAAATAAACAAGCCTTAATTATTTAGAATTAGCTGTACATTTCTTTTTGAGGATGTTAAAACAAATTCAAAAATTATCAGTCAAAATTAGTAGAGAATTTTCTCAGAAGTTACGACTACTAAATACAGATCATTTGATGCAATATTTTTTTAACTTACTGGGTCGCCGCTGAACTGAGGTTCATCAGCATTCCAATTTGTGTAATCAATTCTTGTGTCGTCAGTCCACTGAAATAAAGTACCGTGTTCAAGGGTTTGAAGTCCAATCCAAACAGAAGTACCAGTTTCCATTATTAAGTCACTCAAGAAATCTGTCATAAAAGAATCAATTGAAATATAAAATTCCTTGCGAAGAATGGTATTCTAAAGAAAATTGACTTGTGTGTATGCTAGATATGGGATAGCCAAGATGAGCTTTAAAATTAACCTGTTTTATTGAGACTTGAAGCGATGAACGAATGAAGATTGTAGAAATATTGGAGAAGAGGTTAATAATTCAGGTTTTAGACCAGAGATACTTTTAGTCTCGGAATACCTTTTTGGTCCGTATAATTTTTATATCAATCAGTTTTCAAATTGTTGCCACCAAATGTTATCGTAATGTATTATTTAAAAAATTAAAATAATGAAGAATTTATATGTATGTATGTTCCTCGCGTTGTGGGAAAACAATGGCGCTTGGCACCATCGGATTTCTAATACACGTAGTTCTCACCGGAATATGAGCGTCTCGAAGCCCGAAATTTGAATTTCGAATTTGGCTTTCATTTACTTCATATTTTGTACAAATTTAATAAACTAAAAATTATGAGTTTTAAAAAAATTATTTCTTTTAAATAATGATTTTTAATTTACTCAAATAAAATTTTTTATGTAATTGTACACCAATGAATAGACTTCAGATTAATTTTACTTCTACTAAAATAAAACAACAATAATTATAAGCGGAGCGGTGTAAAGGAAATCAGAAGAAAATATTTGGTTTCTCTACATGAAGGGCCCACCAGCGGCCGAGCGGTAAAATCGCTGAACATTGGTAGTTCGGTCCGAGTTTCGAATCCCGCGAACGGGCTGGCTGCATGGGCGTTTTCGTGGTTTTCCCCATGTGTAACGTGTATACGAGCCAGTCTCCCTTAGAAAGTCCTCCACGAAGGCATCCCTCCCGTTAGGCAGATAGCCCTCGAGGCTTTGCCATAATCACACACACACATTTCTCTACGTGAAGAAAAAACGCTTAATTGCTCAGTACAAGCGTTACATAGTTTTATTTTTTCCTGACTTAACTTTCCTAAAAACAGAACAGTAGATATAAGATGTATTTATTCATATTTATATGTAATCATATTAATCACATATTCATTAATTTACTTCAAAAGTTTCTTTATATTCAAAACCTGTCTCATTATTTTTGAAACGATATAAATTTGAACGTGTGGCTCTCGAACGTTCATAAAATCTCATGCGGCTCCCATTGTCTTGAAGTTTGGCCATCCCTGCTATATAACGTTCCTATGTTAGTCTAAATGCATACATCTAATATCTTATAAACTGTTCGGCTACTGCACCTGGACCATCTCTGTAGATAATTCATTGGGATAAATCATATTAAACTTTAAAAGCATCCTTTTGAGCGATCGCTCATACCTGAACCTTTTTTTATGGCCTAATGGCTGAACTTGTTTTGCCCGAATGGGACCGGTGGTTTCACTCCTTGCAACAACAACCTAAACCTTTTCAGACTTCTCTCTTTCCTTTGTAACTTTTGATTGTTTTATATTAAAATAATTTTCGATAATCATACAAGGTATTTTCTCCCTCTTTTCTGCATGCCTTCATGATATACTAGCACACTCGCCGCGTATTCTAGAAGTGCAGGTTCCAGTCCCGGCTAGGGCATTGCTCAGTTTTTACGTCTCCAGCATCAAAATAACCTAATGACTGTACAATCAGTTGACATACTTTGGCGTTTTAACAGTTTTAATATTAATAAAAGCTTTAGGTATGTATTTGAAATTGCATATGAAAACCTTAAAACCGATTGGATTCCATTAAAAGTGTGTGACTTTAATTAACTTAAAAAAACAATAAAATTTTAAAAGGAACACTTCTTTCAAAGATGAGGATGAATCTGATTCGTTAAATTATGGATCTTATGTAATTTATCCAGAATTATTTATACAGTTCATCACCTTAAAAAGACTTAATATCACCTTGATGCTGAATAAAACAATTGAGCCCCAGTACCTGCTCTAAAGAATTTGCCACTAAGGAACCTCTAAGGAATTTGCTTACCACTAAGTAATTTGCTACCCATTTGCGAAAAGCAGTCAGATGAGAAAGGTTCCTATTTGTAAAAAACTAACTGCTGTTCCTTCTAAAGCCTAGATTTATTTCTTTTCTTCTTGTCTCTTATTTTTTGAAGTTATTTAAATATGAAAATTTTGGTTTTCGTGAAAGTCATGCATATTAAGAAAATGCTTAATTTAAAAAATAATAATAATTAAAAAAAAAAATCCTTAAGGAGCTGAATATTTTAAAAATAATTAACTTCATTTTCTACATTATTTTAAAGATAAGAAAAATTAAATATTCGCGTTATTATTTATTTCCATTTTTTTAGAGTCATTTCAAATCATTCTCAATCACATAGGCGCTCACGGAGCCAATGAATTGCTAAGCCAATAAATTTCTTGACTTCATGAAATGTTTGAAAACAATTTTAAACACAGAATTCGCTCTGTTCGAGATATATGAAACATGTTATATACAAACGTTATCGAATATAATTCAAAATTTAGATTTCCCTAGACTTCAAACGAAAGCATATACTACAAGGAACAAAAATTTAATTCTCAAATTTTCCACCTATTCCTCAGGGCGTACCAGCGGCTGAGTGGTAAAGTCTAAAACACTGATAGCTCGGTTTGAGGTTCGTCCCGCGAACGACCCAGCTGTGTGGGCGTTTCGTGGTTTTCCCCACGTGTTATACGAGGCAGTTTCCCTTAGACATTCCTCCACAAAGGCGTCCTTATCCTAGGCAGATAGCCCTCGAGGATTATAGTAATTACATAAACCAAACCAAACTGATCACATGTTCCCTCTTTCTCACCACATGTTAGAAAGAATATTATTTCGCCCCCTTCAAATCTTTTATATATGTGGATCATCCCAATTAGAAAGTAAAATAGAAGATGCTCAAGCGAGGGCAGACGTTGCTCTTGTCCCTGCCGCCCCTTTGAGGAAAGCCACCAAATCCTTCTGTAGTATTAAATGTCAAATTTTATGTATTTTTTCAATCCTAGGTTTTATAAAGTTAGAAGAAAATTAAAGAAAAAATAAATTAAAGAATTCTTAAGGTTCTTTATCTGTTTTGTCGTTTTCCCCATGTACAACATGAATGCAAGAAAGTTTCCCTTAGAATGTTCTTCGTAGAGGCAATTATTTCCCTTCCCTTTAGGATTGTTGCCCTCGAGTGCTTTACCTTATTCAAATGATGTAAATAACGTAACTCTCTCAATTCGTACTTTCTCTTTATAGAGAGAGCTCTTGTGTAATACAATGCATAAAATACTGAAAACATAAAAATCAAAAGTACAAAATGAAACCTATTTTTACTTCCTTGTACGAAGTAAAAAGGAAGTATTGTAATCACGAAAAGTTTCAGGCAACATATTTCAACGAAAATATCCATTTTGACCGCTATCAAATGCAACTTAATGATGTTTTTGCGTGACATTTGTACATAAGGACAGAATAAAAGACTCTTTTCCTCTCAAAAAATTATAAAATGCTTTAAAAGGAATTCTGAAGAGAATTTTTCGTGGTGTCTGTACGTACATACGTATGTATCTCGCATAACTCAAAAACGAGTAGCCTCAGAACGTTGAAATTTTGTATATAGGACTGCTATAACATGTAGATGTGCACTTCGTATTTTGGTTGCAATCGGCTGCACCAAACGTATGATATATATATATATATATATATCCACCTTGTTACCCGGCTGAGTGATCTCAGTTTCTTTATTCTTATTATGTTTGTAAATTGTGCATTTTTTTTTTTTTTTTTTTTTTTTTTTGTTTAAAGAATGATTGAATTATGTTCTTATCTTCCGGTTAAGGTTTTTATGCCTTTAGTAAATCTGCAAGCAATATTTGTACAATTATAAACAACTTAAAAGCGGTTTAAGTACGGCTAAGCCTTAAGTTTTAAATAACATTAAGTTTTAAATAACGGACATATTCGTTTACATTTGAAACAACAGAATAGTAGATTTGTTGCCAATCTAGAGCGACTAAGCTTCGCAACAACAAAGGTAACGCCTTCCTATATTACTGCGAATTAAATCATGCTTAATCCTTTCTGGAATTTTTTTGAAGAAATAAGTGTTTAAGATTTACTTCGTAATTTTTAATACAGATATTTTGAGTTTTTATGTATTTTTGCCTTGTCGCGAACTGATAACTGAATTAATTGAATGAGAAATACCGAATCGTCTGTGAAAAACTGTTTCTTTTTTGTTTTGTTTGCTTAATTTCTTTTAAACATCGTTCTAGATTTATTATAGTATTTGAGTAAAACATATGGCAACGATTAGATAAATCTTTAAATGATATAAATTTTGTGCATTCTGAGTTATAATATGAACGAAATATAACGCTGTTAAGTGAACCTAGCTCTAGAATGTCGCTATGGTAAACAAATATAGTAAATTTTAAAAAGTGCATTTATTCTGTTGTGGTTTATGCGCTATCGATGAAGTAGATTTAATTCAATCCAATAAGTTTAAATGAAATGCAAGAGAAAATGCGTATAATTTAATATTCCGTGCAAGGACGTCATTTGGTGCACACATCAGATTTTTTTATTTAAAAATACTGAGCTATATTTTATGAAATATTTTTAACTAAAATTGAATCAAAGATATTTGCTACGATGGGGGGGGGAAGCGGACAGGAGATGTTCTTTCTAAGAGATTTCTCTCGGACTTGCAATTTTATAAATCGGTACACTTATGTCTAAATACAACTCTTTCAGTTCTGCTTGAACACATGATTAATTATGCCACAGCTGATCTTTGCCTTAAGTCTTTAGTTACAGTTTAAGTCAACTAGTATCAAGATGAACAATTCCTTCTCCTTAGGCTCCTCCACCGGGTTAGGAGCCCTTTCAAGCCATAAGTATCATTACGTATAAATAATTATACTAAAACTCATGTGCAAAAATATTTAGTTAATTTAATGAAAAATTTTGGCATCTTAAATTAAATACCAAAATAATATTTCAATTTTTTTGTTTAGCTTTCAAAATGCATATTTTTAAAGAACACCTTTCATGCATTTAGCATTTTAAAATGTTCCGAAGAATACTCTAAAATAGAGGTTTCATTATATATAAAACTAAATATTTAAAGAAGTCCTATTTTTATTACATGAAATTGCAAAAGAAGTTATAAAATTAATAAAAATTAAAAAAAGGATGTAAACAAAGACAATGGGTAATAATTATATCAGATGAAGATATCGATAATTATATCATATGACTTGCATTTCTGAGCGATTTTCAAAATCCATGGATTCAAAGAGACTGATGTACATGCTGTAATAGCATTCATTGTTTCAAAGTTAAAATAGACGCCCAACCGGTATAGTGGTTAGCGACGCTGACTGCCTTACCAAAGGGTTAGTTTCGAATCCTGGAGAAGGCACGGGGGTGTAAATGTCTAGTGTCTGTGCGGCATGGGGACACTTTAAATATGCGGTGAGCCGAAAGTCTTTTCGAGAGCTTAGAAGTGGTGGTAGGGGAAAAGGGGTGGCAAACCCTCGGATCCGTCCCCCTCGGGGTGCTGAGGCGGAACTGGACAAAGTCATATCGTCAACTGTATGGTGCCCGAGGCCCTTGATAACGACAGACGCAATATTGGCCCCTTGCCAAGATGAATTTCATAGGTTGCTCTGATGTCAGAGACCTGATCTGATGTTACTGTCGATCGGGTGGGATAAGTCACAATAATAACAAAGTTAGCATATTTAAAAGCAGATGTTTAATTTGCTTAGAAGGACTGCTTTTTGTCCTGATGTATATGGTCAAACCTAGATCTCACGATATACTTGTCAATATTATGCTACTATTCCCCACTAATGATTTTCTATTTGGCTCGTATTTCTGTAAATAGGCGTAAACAGCCTCCATATGGTTTTTCATAGTTCCCTTTCTTCAGGCATAAAGTATTAGCTTTTCAAATCTAAATTAATATTACGAAAATTTTTAATATTATTCTTTATTTGAATTATTTTCTAAACTTTTAATTTTTCTTACCTTGCTCTTCGTTTGAGTGGATGGAAGCTAGAACTGCACCATGCTTTTCACATTCAGTTTTTGCTTCATTCCATTTTATCCTCTGAGACCAAAGACGTCCAAAAACCTTGTAACATTTGTTACCTAGAAGAACGCATAGCGAATCAGTAAGATTTGTTTGAATTACATCAAGTATTTTAGAGGAAAATGCTATAAAAATTTCATCTTAAAGAATCTTTCATGAAGGAAATATAGAGAATCAAAAACGTTAGTTTCAGTTATGGTACTTTTTTAAGCAAACGTAGAAATATACTTAAATTATCGTTCATTCAAATTTTGAAGAGAAAAATGCCATCGCAAAATAAAATCGGACAAACAAGCAACCTCAATTGGTGAAAATTTTGAATAGAATTGCCCTATTCTTCAGGAGGAAATATTTTTCTCACTACTAGAAACTACTAGAAGTTTTTCTCACTACTAGAAGAGACACTACTAGAAAATCAAGAATGAAAACTTCAAGAATCAAACTTCAAGAATGAAATCAACAAATTCTCACACTTAAATCACTTTCTCTCTTTTAATGTATGCGAACAGCAGTAATTTTGAATGGAATAAAATTAAGTCTAAAAGCACTATAAACGCTATACTGGCCGGTATACGACAAGCTAGAAAATAAATAATTAAGCTGCAGTCAATTGATGAAAATCCAGAAACACATTAGAAAACTACCAAAAAAGTTTTATTATGTAGTGGCAGCATTCTTTTTCTTTCTGGAAGATGAAGATTTCTTGGATTTTGGACAAAGACCAGAATTTGCAATATATACGCAAGGAAAAAAAAATAACTGTCCTGAAATGGAAAGAAATGAAAAATGATTATAGGAGCATTAAGAATCATATAACAAACCTAAAGAATACCAGACACTTTGACAATTCCCAGGAAGAGCAGGTGTTGTCGGTGGACTCGTGAATTCAAGGTTGTCATTTATACCTCTCTTGCACACCACCCCATATAGACGGTTGCAGTGGTCAGACGTCCAAGATCCTGAGGGTAATGGAGTTAGCAATTTCAAATTAAAAAATTAAAACCAAATCAATATTCAAATACATACAGAAAATTTTAAATATGTAAAATCAATTAAGCGTCAGTTAAATAATTGATAAAAGAAACTGTCTGAGCAATATTACAAATTTATTAAACAAACTACAATTTTGAGTCACCGCAAGAAACGTTTAGTATTGATATTTGCAAGGTAAAATTTATTTGAATTTACTTGCTTATTTTCTTAAAGCGAAGAGGATCGTTATATTAGGTATAATCGTATATTAATATGTTAGTTTAGCATAACTTCCTGAAATCTTATTCAAACTGTTTTGGATAGCTTGCGAATGCAAGCAGTTGGAGCTATTAGTTTGCATCCTTCAATGTCTTTGCATTACCGGGTGTTTTAGTATAACTGTCATGATTAAACTTCACGAATATTTAATTCAGCTGCAAAGTAATAGGAATTCTAGGTGCAGTTTACCACTGTAGAATTTCATTAACCGAAAGCAAACTTCATTAACTGCATCTAATATTTATGGTATATGATCCGAGTTTCACAATAGTCGACCACTCGTCGAATGATTAAGATCGCTGAATAATGCGAACCGACTCAAATTCTGGAAGGATTGGCCGCTTGGACGTCATGGTGGTTTTCCTCACTGTGTAATGTGAATATGATTTCAGTTTCCTTTACGAAGTTCTCCAGAAGAAATTTCTCTCTTAGTAGATAATCCTTTTATTCTTTCATGTATTCAGATAGATACATAAGGCTCAAAACTCCTAGTTTTTAAAAAATATATCATGCATTAAATAAGTGAATTCAAGTTTCCTAATAATGAAGCAAATATTTTAAATGTATTTAGAAAATGCATATTAAATGTAATTATTAATTTCTTATTAGATTTGTTTAATTATTGTATAATTCTCATTTACGTTTGTGTATTCATCATCCTTTGGCTCTCGTTACTAGTAGTTGAAGTTTAATATGCTTTTATTCTTCTTTTTCTGTTAATAGAGAGCTAAATCAATTTCCAATTAAACCATGCCAACTTTTATGAAACAATTGTAAATAGAGACCTAAAATTATTATTTTACTTTACCTCCATTGATACGAAAAGTATCAAATGTGATACTGATTTTAAAGTTATTTTATGGATTTCTGTATTAATATATATAATAATAACAAAAGAAATTAAAATTGTGATTGGGGAGATGCTCTACTGTACAATTATATTTTAAATTGGTGCCACAAAGAATGACATATCCACAGTGGATACTATTCCTTCCTAATAAGCGCAACAACATGTTTTAAATCAAATACAGTCCAAATGTTTATTGATTTGAATTTGAGTGGGAGTAATAAGATTAATTATAATGATTTTTCACGTAACCTTAATACTAGACATCGCTACGAATTACATAAATATTTGGTTGGCAAGAAAGTAATTTCGGTCTGCACAAATAGGTAGCGTTATGTTCATTTTGTAACTTCGCTGTCAGACTTATAATTTTTTACCTTTTGAGATTTGGCAGCTGACACTTTTAAGTTGCTAAAGAACGTATTTTTGTTTACTACTGATAGTTTATGACCAATTAAACATGGATTACAAAAATAAAACATTTCCGACACATTTCACTTTTTTATTTTCATAAAGACAAGGATGTAACTGAGGCTCAAAAAGAGATATATAAAGTTTAGAGTGTTGACTGCTTAACAGAACGCATGTATCAGGATTGGTTTAAAAAATTTCATTTTGGAGATTTTTCACTTGAAGGTGACCAACGTTCTGATTCACCTTCTAAAGCTGATGAAAAATTAAAGCCATAATTGAATCGAAACGTCATATAACTCTGACAGAAGCAAGAAAAGCGTTAAATGTATCACATACAACAACTGAAAATCACATAAGATATCTTGGGCTAATTAAATAGCTCGATATTTGGGTTTCGTATGAATTGCAAGGAATTCTCTTAACACAGAGAATCAATATTTGCGATACGCTTTCCAAACTTCATGCAATCTACCCTTTTTTTTAAACGAATTACCTCTGGTAATGAAAAAAAAAAAAAAAAAAAAATGGATCGTTTACAATAAATTAATCAAAAAATATTATGGTACAAGCACGATGAATCAGCATAAATCCCATAGAAAGCTGAATTACATCAGGAAGATAACATGCTCTCAAAAACAAAGTTCAACATTAAAAATCAGTGTAAATTGTTAAATTTTTTTTTTTTGCAGTACTAGTTTCCATAGTTTTTTTAACTACATTCTTCAGCTGCTTAAGTACAAACGAACCAAATAAAAGGTAAAGAAAGACAAGATAAGGATAGAGATAAGATAAGAAAAGTTGGACAGAAGGTTAAGCTACTGCCGCCATCTATTGATGAAACAAGAAAAACTAAAACAAAATATCTTTAAAGGTTGAAGGTCAAGATGGATTGCAGTTGGGGTCATTAACTGCAACGGAAATGTTGTTTTGGATGCGAAACGCTTCTAAAAAATCTAATTCACCAATGGAGAATGTTTTTCGAATAATTTTGGCAGCAGAAAAATGAAAAGTGTGATTTTCACTCCAACAATGCTGAACAACAGCGGATTTCTGTGTTTCCTTTTTCCTAACATATGCCTCATGTTCTTTAACAGGAAATTTTAAGCCCCTTTTTGTTTGACCAATGTAAATTAAACCACATTAGCAAGGAATCCTCTAAATACCCAAGGAATTCATATCCAGAAGAATCCCTAAGCATGGAATTCTATTGATAGGAGAGTCTAGGAATTTTGTTGATAGGAGAGAAAACAACCCAAAAGTTAAATTTCTGCAAAATACCTGCAATTTTAAAGCTAATTGACGGAAAGAAAGGAATGAAAATAGAATTTTTATAATCACCTAAAACAGGATTGTACCTTTTGATGTGTTCCGACGAGATTTTAAAGTTTCTAATAATTTTGATTCAAAATAATGAATGTAGATATCAGCAAGGATTGAACTAAGAGGGCTTTCCATGGCTAATCCCTCAGTTTACTTATACTTATTTTGGAAAACAAAATGCGTTTATTTCAAACAGAATTGAGTAAGTCAAATTAGTTCATCAATTTCGATGCAGGAGATATAAAATTCACGAAGTCTAGTTTTTAGACATTTTAATGCACCTTCCACTGGAACATTGGTAAATAATGATTTGACATCAAAAGAAACCATGAGGAAATTTTGGAGAAAAATACTTTTAACTTTTACTTTACTTATACTTTTTTTTTTTTAACTCTATTGAATTTTTTATGGTGTAAATGTTATTATCCAATAAAGTTGAAAATCTAGAAACTAAATATTTCGCTAACAGACACGAAGCAGTGCCTGAATTTGATACAATAGGGAAGGAATACCACTATTATGAATTTTGAGAAGAGCATATAATCTGACACAATTCGCAACATGGGATAAGCGATCATTTAAAGTGGGTCGGAAGGATTTGTGAAAATTTGATCGCAGCCTTAAAACTAAATTAGATATCTTGCTGTAAATTTGGTGGGATTATAAAGGTGTTGTGTATTTTGAGTTGCTTCCAACCAACCAAACGATGAACTCACATGTTTATTGCCAAATACTTGTGAGGTTTATATTATTTCTATTAATAATTATTTTAATTTGTTAACCTTTTCTGTCATGTCTTGTTTCTCTCGCGTTTAATCGCCAGGATGTAAATGAGTTAGAGTGAAAGAGAGTGTACTAAAGCTGAAGTAACGAAAAGGTTAGAGAAAGCATGTTTTGCTATCGAGAGTTGTTGATTCTATCAGCCGTTTGAATTTTGAATCTTGGTTTCGCATTCTTGCTGTTTAGTATTACGATGGTGTAGGTTTCTGAGTCAACCTACTTTAGCTTCTTTTACAATTATCTTTAGTTTTAACCCTACAAGTGGATGGTGGATTTGTGAGCACAAAGCCTGTGCCGTCTGTTGATACTTGAGTTCAATAAAAGGGTTTTTTTAAACCCTTCCCATGTTAAATTCATCTTCTAGTCTTACCGATAAGTTGCTAGCAGACTTTTAAGTAGGTATAGTAGCAGTTTATGCTAGCCAAGAATACTAGACTTTACCAACTTATGAAACTGGAGAAAGAATCAAACAAAAAAGGCCATAATTGGCAAATCGCATAGGAGTCATGTTCCATAGACGGTACCTGGAATTATGTTGTATGTATATAGTTAATTTAATGTGTCTTGTAAATACTTGGTATAACGTAAGTATTCTGTAATAATTATTTCTTAATTGCATCAAATTTTTCCGAGATTGTAACGCCACTTGTGCTACGTCTGAGCAAAATATGTAGCTGTACTATACTCCATTTAAATTCCTTGCCAGAGATTACTAAGTTGGTCATTGTACATTGTTAACTATACATAATGCAGTCAACAAGAATGTATGTAGTTGTACTATATTCCATTGTACTACTGTATGTATGTTCCATTACTGTACTGTTCCACTGTACTACTGTATGTATATTCCATTACTGTACTGTTCCACTGTACTACTGTATGTATGTTCCATTACTGTACTGCATGTACTATATTCCATTCCATACGTAATTGTACTAAATTCCATTTTAATTCCTCGCCAGTGATTACTAAGTTGGTCATTGTGCATTGTAAACTACATCAAGCTCAACATAGTTAACAAAAATATAATGGTGTATGTGCCATAAATGCGCTTGGGTGTACCGTAGGCATTCTACTAATATCTATAGTTTTAATATATCGGCTATCACATTTCTTAGGAAATGGATAGGCTTTTAATGTAATTGCCAATGTAAGCTTTAATGTACGTTTTAGGTAGTGTAAATGCAATGTTTCGCATGCAGCTTTATGCGAGTGTCACATTAGGAGATGGGTACTACAATTACACAGTATTCTTATTATCTAGTTTGCATTTTTCTGTATTCAGTATTGCATAGCATTAAGTGTTAATATTAGTAGACTCTATACAACTGACCCTGTCCTATAATGTGAATTGTAACTAATTGTACTCAAGTTGTACTTAAAATACGTAGTAAATTCTTAGTATGTTCTTATGGAACCAAGTCTGCAAAGTAGCAGGTACAATTTATTAACATTGAAAGGTAAGAGTAGTTATATTTATTTAGGTAGGATAATTGTATGTATTTCTATTTTTTGTCACACTGTGCAAAACTGACTTAGTATTCAGCGACTCTCAGCAACTCCCCCTTTTTTAAAGCAATTTGTACATTTCTATTCCCAATAACTTTGTTTTTAATTACCTTTTTAAGTTCGATTTCATATTTAGAATTTGTACTGTGCACAAGACAGGGATTCCTTTAGTGATGGCGTTATATTTATGTCTTTGCTCTTCATTTTCTTTCTCTTAGCTTCAGTGCTGTTTGTTCTGTGAGGCCTCTTGCAGTGGCGGTGCAACAATAATATATGGCAACAGCAGAAAGAATGATAATGCTGTAAGGCTAAATTATAGCTACAGGGCTAGCAGTCCTCTTTTGTAGTGTAACTGTAACTGTTCCACCACGACAATGCGAGGCCTCACACGTCTTTAGCAACACGTATGAAGCTATTGGAGCTTGGTTGAGATGTGATGTTGTATCTCCCATATAGCCCCCCCCCCCCCCATGTTCCATATAGCCCGACCGTCATATTGTCATGTATTTCAAAGTTTGCAAAACTTCTTAAATTATAAAAATCTCCCTGCTAACGCTGATCTCAAATCGCACTTAGTTCAGTTTTTGGCTGATAAAACTCAAGAAGTCAAATGAGCGCGGAATCAGGAAGTTACCAGAAAGATGGAAAAAAGTCATCGAACAGAATGGAAGATATTTGATTAATTAAAATTAATTTTTTGCACAGAAAAAATTAGTTAATAGTTTTATTTCACACTAAAAAACAGAAATTACTTTCTTGCTAACCCGATACTTATAATGTTTTATGTAATCGCAAAACTAGGCATTGTTAAGAATTACCGAAGTCCAATAGCGAATGAGTTAAATAATCGTGGACCCCCTGAGAGTAAAATAACATGCTCCATAATTACCTTCTCTTTTGTTAAAAATAACGCAGTTGTCCACCCTCTCAGTTGTATTCGCAACAAAGCTATCAGCCCAGTACAGAAAATCCACTGGTGTTTCATCTGACCAAGTGAAGGATGAATGGAGACCTCTAGAGTTTAGACCAATCCAAAAGTCTGTTTCTGGATAAACACTCGTCTAAATTCAAAGAAAAATTTATTCAAAATATTGCAAAATCATTTGTAAGGAAAGAAAATATGTTTTTCTGCGTTTGAAAGCCTCAAAGATGGTTAGCTACCAAACAAATATTTTTGATAATATGAGAAAAATATAAAATCAAAATGTATCAATAAATAAAAACTGAACCTGTGGTAGGTAATATTATTGCTACGCTCATGTCTAAATTATAGATGGTCTCAGTAACCGTTAGGAAGGATTCCCTGGTGTGGATTTAAATAAAATGCATAGATTTCGGAGGTCTCTTTTCTTTAGAAATTAAATATTTTTGCCATGCTTTTTTCTACATGCAAAAGTACACAAAAGTATTTTTACTCCTGAAGAACGGGAACCTATGTCCGAACGCCGTCGAAACAGATAGAGTTTCGTTCAAAATATTTGCCAGCCTTTATTATTTTTTTATTGTATTATTGCCAACCTTTATTAGCTAAAGTTACGTGCAAGTTTTTTATTGGCATGTTTTTCTTGCAGCTTAATTTTGTTGCTTATTGGGATCTGGATTTTTCAACTCATTACCTTCTTGCATCGTTTGGCAATTCAAGGAATTTCAAGAAAGATTAAGGAAGCAGTTATTGAATAACTTTTGAAATAGGAACCAGGAAGAGTCATTCATGGAAATTTTAAAGCAGTTGCCTTTGTTATTCCATGTGAACGGTAACTGAGAAACATTCACTTACATAAAAATATGTTTAAATCAAAACGAACTCATTTACGCACAAATTTATCAATATTTGTTTATCAAGAGAAATCCATCAGCATACAATTATTAATCAGAAAGTATACACTTGCGTAGAAATTAACTTCGTTAATCTAAAAAGGGTATTTGCATAAAAAGTTTTTCAAAATTAATATTGGACTGTGAAAGGATGTAACAGCCATTGGCTGATTAAAGAAGAAAAATTTTATTACCTAGCCGAAGAATTGCATACGGTATGTGTTGACAATCCATGACGTTTTAAAAGGGGGCGATATAAGGTTTTATGTTCATTAACCAATTATTTCATTATTTTTGTTTTTAATGTTACTTTTGTCAATTCCCACCAAAATTTAAATTAATTAATATATATGTATATAAGAGCAGAGTTCTCGTGGTCAAGAGAAGGTTTTTGGATAAAGAGCTACCGCTAATAGTCTCAGTACTGTTTTTTTCCTTTCAGTATCTATCCGAATCGGCTTTAGCCTTTGTTTTTCGTATTTGCTCGGATAAATAGAAGGTTAGAACCAAAACTTGTAGGCTCACTCTGTCTTGGGAATCTCATATTTTAATACTTAAATTTTAGTTTGAGTTTTGTTTCCGTTAATCCCGAAAGTAGCGGGGACATTCATATTCACAAATAGTTGTTGTAAATTGTTAGTTTAGAGAACTGATAAAAGTGTTTATTTTAAACCATGTGTTCGGTGTTACTTCACTAGAAGATTAAGATGAAGTGATTTGTCGCTTGACTTTCTGAAACTAGATTCTTTATACCTGGCCGCTCCAGCAGTGCTTTTCCATTTTGCTGTAGCAAAATCACCGGCCTTCCTCTTGTAGTTCAACGAACAGTATAGAGCAGAGGTTTCTTAACCAGAGAGGAGTTCCTTTGTGGTGGGAGTTTCACAGTTTCAGGTTAGGGAGGGGGTGCAGTCAGTCTTTTATTTACCAGTTAAATATTTAGTTTTAGTTTATTAATATAAAAAATTACTTTTATTGAAACATGGGCACTTATCAACTTTTTTATACTTTTTTTTTGTTTATTTTATAAAACAAATTAAAAATAAAATAAATTTAAATAAATTGTGATGTTTCTTTAATTCGAATAACCAGTTATTCTGTACTGTCATTCCTCTCTTTCCGTTTTCCCGACAGAATGCAAATGAGTTCTCGTGTATTTCAAGGTAGTTTTTGAGATTGTTAAGTTAGAGCTTGTTCTACATCTTAAAGACCACATTCCTAGGTTTTCTATTTTAGGTAAAAGTTCTTGTTTTCAGCCTTGCATTAGACTGCCGAAAGTAGAATTCACGTCGGTGAAGTTCTGAGTCAACTTCGCGTTAAATTTCTCTTTGTATCCTTTGACTATTAATGTATTTAAATTTAGCCTTACGTTTGATTTAATAATTTCAGGTTTCTCGTCATAACTGCTGGCGTATTTGTAAACACCAGGAGTACCTTCTGTTCGTCTTGCTTTTAAATAAAGTCCCTTTTCAAATTTCTGTGGTACATAGAGATAAGTCGTTTAACATCTACCAGGAGTTATTAATTACCAATTACTGCTAATTAATCGTTACCAAGAATTAAGGTGTATAATAGCTAAAGATATCTAACTCTATAAAACGTATATGTATTTAACGAGCTTTAGAGAGAAAGGGGGAGGAATGATAGTTCAGCAATGATGAAAGCGGCATATGGAGCAAAAGAGGTTGAGAACCACACTGGTCTAGAAATTTGACAGGCTTTGTACTTCGAACATCATTTTCACATATATACATTACGGAAAGCGTATTATTCTCATTTTTATTATTTCATTAAAGAACAGATTTTGATATTTTACTCACTCTGACAAAGAATTCTAGATTCAAAGATTTTGTATTTCTTTATCCTTGATGCTGAACTGAATAACATCAAATTAGAGAACCTGCATGAAAATTTGTTAAAATGTCAAGCTGCGTATCGTATTAAGATCAAATGCCCCGTGCAGAATATAGGTATTGCAAAAGATATGCAAAGGAGAACTCCTACTGTGTACTATTACCAAAAGATAATAAAGTGTATAATGTAATCAAAAAACAAAGTAATATAAATACAATTTTCATGGAACGCGATGAATATATCTGTATAAGTTTCGTATTAACTTCAAATAAAACTTATTATATTAAAGAAAACAAAATCTTGAAAAAAAGCTGTTTTTGAAAAGGATCATTAGGCATTTATTTTGACGTCTAAAAAGTAAATTTTGTTTAAATTCGTTCTTACTACTGTTAATAGGAAATCAGTCTCTTCAAAGGAGTGTACAGAAGCTAAGTGAGCACCGTTATCTTGGCAGAAGGTCTGCGCGGTATCCCAGGAATATCTCTTTTTCTCAACTACCAGGTAACAGTTGTCTTGATATAAATACCAGTTATGGAAAGCCGAAGTAGTTGTGAAATTGCACTTTATTTCTGTTCAAACAGAAAACAAAAAGTTATTCCTCGTTTAAATAACATATTATTTATAAATTATACAATTGATACCTCATGAAAAATAACAATTTTAATAAAATTAATTGCAACAGAAAAAGGGAAAACATTTCGCAAATATTCATAAAATGTTAACGCTGGGTTAGGAATAGAAAATATTTATAATGTCTATCAAGAAATTTTAAAGTCGTATTTTCACTCTGTAATGTTGGAGCAATTTTTAGCTTTCGCTAGATAGGCACGCCACATATACCGCATCTGGACCAAAAGCATACCATTATCTGAAAATATGTGCCTACAATTCTAAATATTAGTGATTCGAACTTAATGAAAGGACGTGTACATCTGTAACTTGGTCAGAAGATACCACTAGAATACCATAAAAATCAACATATTATGGCCACTACAGTTGCGATGATGAATATGATACGATATTTGTCTCGAAAAAACCACTACATGGCAGCGATATTTCACAAATTCACTCCCTCACATCTCTTAAGTATAGATTCTCCTAATAGTTACATACGTCTTCAATGCATCGGAGCTCATAAACTCGTCTATTAACACAACGGGGCTCGTTAGTGTTACAACTGCATATTGAATGTAGAACATGTTCATGGACGTCATGTTTAGTACCTGGAATCAGAGCATGTTTTCATCCAATCGATATAGTACGAATTTAGTAAACTGAAAATTCAAAATTCAGCACTAATCATGGAAAGTCAGCACCATAAATTTACGGCACCATAAATTTACAAACATCAAATCCAATATGGCGGAATTGCTCTTACATTTTCTATCAGAGATAATAACCAAAACTCAGTCGAATAGACTTAATTATCCTGAATCATCGTTTTAATTCAATTGCAAAAGCAAAAAAGTATCGTGTTAGCTATAGCTTTTATTTGAAAGTTTCTGGAAAATTCAAGCAAGATTATCTTTCTCCCATTTTTCTTCCATGTTTAAAGTTTTTCAACGTAAGCGGACCGCAATCACGTACCGATCTAAACAGCGACATCCAACACCTCAGCGCCCCATTCCGATCACATTTTCTCTTAAAAAACTGCTTATTTCTGGCTCCTCTATTCGAATTTATATGTTTTTTAGATATTTTAGAATCTCATCGTGCAAAATTTAGATTTTAATTTATTATTTATTGAATATTAAATACATATGGATGTTTCTTTACATACAAGTTGGACACAATTGAGAAATTTCAATGTCAAAATGTATTAATTCGAAATAAAATTGGAACTTAAAAGAGTTCTAAGTTTCTTTATAATCCTTTGCTCAACCAGTTCTTGTTAAGGGTTGGCGTCAATCAACTTCTGTAGAACAAACTTACTGACAACATAGTTGATATAGTAGTGAAAATGCAGTCAAAGTACTTGCCCACCACTCGGTACGATGACAAAGTCTGAGAAACGAAACTTTGGGTTCTTCCATTAGCAACGGCTTTCTACTATGCAAAAACCACCTTAATTATCAGTTTCCTCCTTTTATGAGCCCGATAGTCTCCTTATCAACATAGTTCCAAGGATTAATGGTTCAAAGAATTAAAACAATTCAAAAGAATGAGATCGCGAATCTATGATGCAGACAAAAAGATATATTCTCTCAGTATATTTCTCTCCAGGAATGGCAGAAACGCTGGATTATGTGTAAATGCTCCTATATATATTATTCCGTCCTACTATACAGCGTTTAGTCAGTTCAGTGGCTTTTCTGATGACGAAACTACATTCATTGAGAACATTGACTAACCTGGAAGAATCAGTTTCTGTGGGAAGCCTTCTTATTTCAACTTAAATAAGTCGTGTGTACTTTACCATGATCACATAGTGCTCAATGCGGTTATCCTTGAAGAAAGTACTCAGCATCCTATGGTTATCCTCAGAGTGCGATAAGAACTTGAAGTACGCTCCGTTGATTTTGCCTATAAATTTGGCAGTAGTATTCTGAGCCAATTTTTTGTAGAAAATCCTAATAATTTAGGGGGCAGGGATTCGCTACTATGGGTAGAATGCTCGTAATACGGTTAAGTGTCGGCTGAAGCTGCAAGACTTGTTCCAGTTGGTTTAAAGTTTGAGTTACTACACTGTTATCCTAAGATAAAACATTAAATTTATTACTTATTTGTTAGGAAGTGAATTTTTTGGAAAATCAGTTTTAGTCTGCTTCACAGTTTTGGTTGCTTTAATAAAACCAGTTAGATTAATATTAAGTTTAACTTCATTTTCCGTTTAATAACATTGCAATTAAGACTATCGTTTACAAGGCCTGAACTGCAAGTTTCAAAACACTTACTTCTAAGTACATTGACCTGCTTTCAAATCAGAGTGAGCTGCTCTACCTACCAGGTTATCGATGAAATGTGTATCTTTCTTTGCATAGAGATAACTGCTTTCATACTAGCTTTAGTCGTTTCTAAGTGGTCCGTATCAGCTTTTATCAAGTTCACCAGGATCAAAGAGAGTTGAGGTGTTGAAGGACCATGACCATGGACAGAAATATCCATATTTAACACAGAATCGTCCTGAGGCGTAAGAGCTTCCGATTCTCAGACATAATTCTGAGAAACCTCCACGAATGCAAATCATCTCATTTGCAGTGCCTCTATAGGTTTATATTAATCTCAAGATAAGAAAATTCTGCCCCTCTGAGCTTTAGTGCGGCCAGAAAATTCTAAAAATAGTCTCTTAAAGATAAATGACCGAGGACGGTAGACAAATTTTGGTCATTGCGATTTTAATGAAGTACTTCTTACCTAAGAGATAATAAGCTACAGTTTACTATACGCCAAATGAATAAACTACAAACAACTTTGATGGGTACAGGATGGATATCCTAATCACGTAGGTACAAGAGTCTTTAGCCGATGAGCCTTTTAAGTGTCGTAAATGAGAATAATAAATAGCGGTTTTTTTAATTGATTAGTATATATTTGCTTTGGCTCCAGGAAATTTGAACGTAATAAGTGGTTGATTTTATGAGCCAGTGAGTTTAATAAGCGACGGATACTGTATAATGAAATGGAGACGTGAAATTGATCATCTAATAAGTGAAATAATGGGTAATCTTTGAGCATAAGAGAAGGTTAATAAAGTTTAGCAATACGTTTGGATAAAGAACAAGAAAATGAACTTACTTGTAAAAGATGGTAGATCTGGCATAAGGCTACTTCTCACTAAAATTAAATAATGTTAGTCTATTACAATATATAAATATCTATATATATGCATACATGCACAGAGAACTTAACAGTTTGTGTTGTTTATCTTGCTTATTTATATTTCCTTATTATTCTATATACATAATAGGCCGTTATAAAAGTTTAAGGCATGTATTTATTATAGGATTCAGTTTTCTTCGCAGCATAAAGAAAAATATGTGGACCAAATACTTTAACATTTATTTCAAGAATAAACTGTAATTAAAATTGTTCTGAAAAGCATTGAAACATAGGATTAACATGCATAAGAATGCGAACAGGAACTCACATGGTAACAGCCATTTTTAAGTATCGGCTGCATTGATATCAAAGATTTTTTGTCATCTAAGCTCTGAGTAAGTACTTATTGGTTTACACAAAATTTGCGCTGTGGATATATATATATAAATATAGACTATTATAATATATAAATATCTATATATATGCATACATGCACAGATAATATATTCAGATATATATATATTCAGTTATATATATATATGTATATCACTGAATGACTGCAAATGCAATTGTCATTTCCAGTAAAATTTGGTGAAAGAAGAATTAAGCAAATTTATTCAAATATTTTTTCGCTGAATCAGCTAAAAAACATTTATCTTAACCAAAATTTGTTTCACATATGAATAACATTAAAATTACTGATCCCATTATTATATAATTAACTAGGTTTTATTTGTTATAACAAAATGTAAATTTTACTGTGACACCTAGGGGTGCTTTACAGACAAACCATCTTCGCACTCCGCAATAGTCCAGCTTCCATTGTGAATCATCGCTGCCATGCATAACGCAGAACTTGCTCCTGCTTTTGAGGTTGGGCTCATTGATTTCCCAGTTTGTATAATTCATCTGCGTGCCATCGACCCAGCGGAAGACTAATAATGAAATTAATAAAAAATAATCTTGTTATAAAAGTTATTTAATTTTTGTAAGCAGATTATTCAGTTTATCAATAATGATTCAGAAATTTCAATCCTTAAGAAGAGATCCCGCGATATTAATAATTTAGTTTGGAAAAGATAGAGCATTCCTAGATAGAAGCTTTCTTATATTCTTATGAAGATAAAAGTTTTTTTTGGATTATTTTTGTATAAAACTCTGTAATCAGATTTAAAATTTTAAGCATAAAGTTTTAATCAGAAAATCAGAAATTACTGCTTAATTTAATTTAATTATTTAATTATTTTTTATTATTAATTTAATTAATTTATTTTAATTAGAAAGGAATTATAAATTTGAAGTGCAAAATATCCGGTTATGTGAAAAATTTCAAATATACCGTTATTCTAAATTTACTCGTAAGTAAACTATGTGTTAGAAATTGCAACAAATTTTAATTCTTTAAATCGATTTTTACTGAAATGAAAATTAGCAGAAAATCCAATAAAAGCTTTTGTTTAGACAAAAACAATACCTAATGTTACTATGTAATAAAATACAATTTTTACCCTTTGAATAAAGTTAAAAAAGAAAGTGCTCACGCTTAAACCTAGATGGATATATAAGTTTATTATTACGTTTTACTTTTGTTACAGAAGAGAATAAATAAGTAGATGAGCTAGAGAAAAACTCTGTAGGTGTATAATATGTATAGGTAACAGAAATTTTTAAAAATTAACCATACTTCTCCGTTGTTAAATAATGAAGAATCTTTTTTTGTATGTATGCATTTATGTATCTATATATGTATGTTCCTCATATAGGCGCGAAAAAAAGGTGGCTTCTAGAGACACCAAACTTTGAACATTTCTTCCCATTTGAATCTATTTAAAATAGAAATAATCTATTTAAAATAGATTCAAATCTTTCTATATGTCTTACATAACAGCATGTGCATTTCGAAGCCTGAATTTTGAACTATTTTCTAATTTTGAACTACTTGAATTTTGAACTTTAATTTATTTCGCATTTTATTCGAATTTGAAGAACTTTTGGTTAAAAACTCAGAGATATAAAAGCTTTGTGTTGCAATGGGTGAGATATTTAAATTTTATGTTTAATAAGAAAACTCATGATAAAAAATAAATGTGCTGCTACTCGGCAAAGCGCAATATATTTAATCAACAAACTCATTTAAAAGTAATGTGTTGCCAACGCCCCAAATGAAATATCTTTATCTTTCAGGTGGCAGTGTGCTTTCGTTCAAAGAGCTTGAGATAATATTTAATTTTTCTTTTAAATTTATTCTGTGATTAATTAACAAGCTAAATGATTTAAAAAGCAGTAAACGCAGAATCATTTCAATTATTATTAATTGCTGACTAGCCCCATAAAATTATAGAACCTGGATTCATTAAAATTATTGTATATGTTTTCCTTTTTGTAACAGCTATTTTAGGCGGAAATATAGTATAAATGTAACTTATCATCAAAATTGATCAAAATATTGTTAAGAAATATATATTAGGGTGAAGTAAAATAGGCAAAAGAAAAATGTTTTTAAATTAAAAAATTTCCTGACTCGAAAATGGTTCTGTTCGTTGGGAAAAACACAGTAAAAAATTTGCAGCTCAGTCGCTCGTCATCCTCGGGTTCCACATGAAGTAATTAAAAAAAAATCAGTGTTCATGTATGTAAGGATTATATTAATTTTATTAACAGTTAAATTTTGAGTTAACCTCCCTTTCCTATCGCTTCTTAATTTCAACTGACCCCTTCCGGCCAGAACATAGTTTTAGAATCACGTCTGAATGCTAATGAGGAAGAGCGGAATTTAACCGCGAGGTTTTACTGTCTTAGTGAGAGAGATACTAGATATTCTGGCTGCACGCGTCCGCCTTTTTAGACTACTCTCTCGTAAGCTATTATTACGCTCGGCCGTACTTTAGGCCTTTGATAGCTTCGCAGTCAGTTAGCGTTAAGGGGCCAACTTTGTTAGAATTTTGATAGCTTCGGCTATATCTCTGTAGTTAAGATTTGTTTGATTCTTAGTCTCTAAAGTTCAAGCCCAAGTGTCGGCTTTATTGTACAACTCCAAGACGGAGTTCTGTTAAATCTTATTTGAATAATAAAAGGTCTTTTAAGCCTTTCCAAGTTATTGTCTCACGAATCAAGCGATTATTCGCTTACTAGTTCTTAAGATTCTTCACTTTTAACTGTAACTTAGAATTACACAGTGGAGAATCCTACATGCTAATGGAAACATCACATAATTTTTTAAAAATATTTTTTAATGATTTTTTTACAACATTATCGTTTCCTGACCAACATATGGTTGCCATTGGTAAAAAAAAAATGTCAGTAAAACGTTTCAGCTTAATCACGTCACTCGTCACCTTCAGGTTCCCCCCCCCCCACAAAAAAGAAATTTATCTTGATGTCGAGCTTCATAATTTCGTTCCGGGATTTGATTCGACTGCGCATGAGCCCCTCCCTGGCTTCTGCACCACATGTTGGGAATGACGCTTTTATGATGAGTCTCACATGCCTCTCTACTATTTGAGAATGGCAAGGGAGCTTTCGTACTTTACCGAAATAGTCTCTAATCCGAAAATAGTCTCTAATCAATCTTATGTCTTCGTCGCTAAGGTTTAAGGTAGCCCTCAGCAACGAAGCCCCATAGGATTGTTCCAATAAATGAATCATCTGAAAATATCTCTGCTTTGAAATTCAATTTGGGAAGAACAAATTTATTTTCCTCTTCCAGTCAGTTTTTCTTGCTTTCAGTGTTCTTCTCAGGCCAAATTCGTGAATATGTGCTCGTTCAAATTTCCAGCATCGCCAGCAGGATGTTTTTTGAGTGAGCAAAATAACAGTTCCTGTAAATAACTTCGTGAACGATTGCCTTAAAATTTTCTGACAAGAATGAACTTTTCTTGATCATTTCGTGAACATGACGTGCTCCATATATTGCTCTAGGGGATTTCCTTATTTCAAACCAGGATGGCACATAAACTCAACATATTTCTACTAATAGCTTCAAGTCATCTGTTGGTTCGCCGGTTGATACATAAAAGAGAAGAATTTTGTTGGCTGTAGTGAGCCATTTTGAACGAGTCCTCTTCCCAGGACTCTTGTTTATTAGGTCTGAAAGGCGTATTTACTTCAGTCTTCTGGAAAAGATGACGAAGAGTCAGTTCATTGATGTGCAACAAGCATACAAACCAGTGCAGTTTATGACGGATAAAGATCTCAAAATAGATGCACTTCTAGTTGACCCCAATCTTAGTCTAATCTATCAATGACTGATAAAGCAGGATTGATAAAACACGACGAACAACCAATTAATTAACAAAAAAGTCGTTCAAAGATCGTGGAAGTCACGTGATTGTTTATACCAAACTAGAACCAATAGTCCGATTAGAGCTTGTTCTGGCATCTAGTACCATATGTTTGCATTAAATTTGATATTTTGGTTTACGAAGAAATTTCTCGGGCTAATAATGGCGTTTTTGACAAAGCAATTCATGAGAAAAGCATAAAAACCGTTAAAAAGTCATAAAAATATTCACTTGAGGTCTACAACCGCAAGATGTCAGTATTTTGGCTGAAATTTGAACACAATTTATTCTAGTTCATTTGAAACCATATAATGATTCAGTCATTATGAATTTCAAAAAGAGAGTGTTTTCGCCCTACCCTAATATACGTTGTTTCGAATGGTTCAGTACTGTAATTTAGAAGATGAACGAGATATTTTAAGCAATACCTTTGTATTAATAAGCCGATGTATTGATTATTTGTATACCTCGAATTAATAAGAATTTCTTATTTAATGTGCACTTAATTTTATTTCAAAAGCTGGAAATAATAGCCCTCTATTTCAATTTTTAAAAATTCATTAATAATTATATTGGAACATTCTTTTGCATTGTAGCTTGATGAGGTTTAACAGGAGATCAAAGATATTGATTATTGACGATAAAATTTTCATACATTTTGTAAAATTATGATCACTACCAGTTTTGTATAACTAATATTTGTGAAAGTATTTAGTAATTGTTTTGATACAAATTTGTTGTTAGCATTGTAGTAGAAATCTTATTGTAATAAAACAGCAATATAAATGAAACAAAACTCACTGTCATCTTCTTTTCCTCTCTGAATGCCGATCCAAAGCCCTCTAAAATGTGCTCTTGCCCCTCTATTAAATAAAAGTATATGCTTGATTAGAAGTGCAATAAAGAATTTTAAGTCGCATTAATAAAAATTCTGAATAAAAGTAAAGAGAATTGTTCAATAATTCTGAATTATTATCTCATATTTTTTCATTTCTTGCCAGACGCAAAAAATATTCAATGAAATTGAGTTAAAAAATATTCATTGAAATTGAGTTAAAAATATTCATTGAAATTGAGTTAAAAAATATCGCATTTACAGCAGTTTCTCTTCAAGGTGGCTCGGCAAAACCAAAATTATTCTAATAGGATACCCATTTCCTTACATGGACTTTAATGTACGGAAAAAGAAATCCTCACTGAGAATATCTTGAAGAAGTATTTTATATTTATATAAATAACTATTCCTAATATTTAATAACTGAGATAATAAACAACCAGGGATGCTTTATATATATAAAGTTCCTAAAAGACTTATTGAGTTAAAAACCATACAGTAACATATCCAACAAAATATTAAGGAGAAACAACACGATGGAAAATATCACTGGGCACATCGTAGTAAAAAAAAACAAAAACAAATAAAAACATTAAAATTCTAAAACAGTGAGATAAAAGCATCGTGGCAAGAAATAAAGTGGCAATAAAACTTCGCAATATTAAATAATATTAAATAATATTCATGCAATATTAAATAATATTGCATGATATCATAGCTATGATATATAAAATGAATAGCTATGATATTCATTTTCAGATTTTAAGTTCAACTCTATGTTTCCAGTCAGAAAATGTAATCATTTGGGAGCACGAGAAGAATTTTTACCCATACATATATTACTCCAAAAGTAGTAATATATGTATACTTTTCACTCAAATCTGTTGCCATTAGAAAAAAATCTAAGATATAAATATAATCTTTTAAGATATATTCCTTTTAAGATATAAATATAATTTGTCTGCTCTCAATGAATAAACTAATATATTAAAAAGCATCAGAGAGTAGTTCTTATAGAAATATTATTTTTTTTTTTACTTTTGAATCTGATAGAGTTAAACAAAAATGCATTTACATCATGATATAGCTAATTAAAATATTAAATAGTTTTTAAGTTATATGTATTTCACTTTTCAAATATAGAGAATATACACTTCTGGGCTTTAAAACTGCAACACCAGGAAGGAATGATCCTGTAGAGATATTAGGTTATTTTGGAAGTAGAAGTTATCAAAAATGAGCAGTGCCCTCGCCAGGACTCGAACCACGGACTTCTCGTATACGCTAAAGATGTGCTGACTACTACATTATGAAGGCGTGCTAAGACGGCTGGAGAAATACCTTATATACTCCCCATTTTAAAGGGCGACTGTGTTTTTTTTTTTTTTTTTTTTTTTTTTTTAGCGGAATCGCCAAATCCTGGTGGAGAACCATCATCCACCACCTTTTAGTTTCGGTGCCACTGTAGAGACGTTAGATTATTTTGGATGCAAAAGTCATGAAAAATGAGCAATGCCCTCGCCGGAACTCGAACCACCGACCTCTCAAATATGGGCCGAGCGTGCTGAACACTACACTACGAAGGCGGAAGAAATACCTTATACTATGAGGAACGTCAAAATCCCATGAAAGGAAGAAGTTGGGATATGCAAATGATTAGTATTTCAGCGCATTTAGACGACGCAGGAGGGAGAAAAGTCATCTGAAGCACTGCATAAAAGAAAAGTTGTTCAGTGGATTTCTCATTAGGAAAGCGCTTTGTAAGGTTGGAGTTTACTCATAACATCGTGTTATACCTCGAATAAGAGCAGGAAATGTTTACCAGTAAGTGTTGGAATTCGAAAGAGGCAGGATCGTTGCCTATCAAGAGTGTGGATTATCGTTCTGTGATGTCGCCCGTCACACTGGTTGACATCCAAACAATATCCTGTGAATATGGAATCAGTGGATTGCTGAGGGTCATACTGAATAGCATGCAGAATCTCAATGTCCTCGCATAAATAACGCGCGAGAGGACAGACATATTGTGAGATCAGCCCTGCAAAACCGTATGACTACATCACGGACCATTAATCAGGAAATGGGCATGGTTGCAGCACGCTCAGCATCAGCTCTAGCGTCCTGGCGTCTAGGTGAGCCATACGACAAAGCTGGATACAGGAAGGACACAATATTGTCTTTTAGCCGAATTCTTGATCTGCGTGCAATATTCTGATGGCCGTATATGTATTTGGAGGCTAAGATAATGCAAGGCAACATGTTGCACGTCGTGTTCTGACCTTCCTTGATGCACAGGGTGTTCGATTGCTGCCCTGGTCTGCAAGGTCTCCAGATCTGTCACCCATTGATAACTTCTGGTCATGGGTTGCTGAGAGACTGGCCCGCCATCTCTCTCCAGCTAATACGGTTGATGGAGAGGGGCTTTGACTTGAAGCAGCATGGCATGAGTTTCTGACTTCTGTCATCGAAGCCCAGTTTGACTCCATGGCTAACTGGGTAAGGGCCGTTTTAGCTGCCAGGGAGGGCAGCTGTTTCTACTAATTTCGCACCCCTCTAAACCTCCAAACTGCTTATAAATTTAATCATTTTGTTTTCATTTATACCACATTGTGTACGTGCAATAAATATCTTTTTTTTTTGTATTTGTTTTCCTTCATGGTGCTGCAATTATAAAGGCCGGCAGTGTATATAACGTTCCCATGTTAGTCTAAATGTATATTCATCTGGAACACTATAAAATATTTCGCTATTTCATCTGGGCTATTTCTATTGAGAATCTGTGCTGATAAGCCACATTAAATTTTAAACAGTCCTTTTCTGCGAATGTTAAAATATGAACCCTTTCAGGCATTTTGTTTTTCAGTTTTATTGTTTTTAATTAACTAATGAGTTTTAATTGAAAAGTCAAGAAGAAAATTACTTCAGCATTGAAAAATATAAAAATACGTATACCTATAATTACTTAGAGCAAGAGTTAATAGATTTTCAAGCTAGTATAGTTACCTATTCATTGAGAGTTACTATCTAATTGCATCTGCAAATTCTTATGAAAAAATACAATGTAAAACAGAAAAAAGGAAGGATGAATTAAAACGGATTTTAGAGGTCATTAGGCATTTTATGGTATGCACACGGCCCTCACCGGCCCTTGACCTTCGTTGCTTCCGACTGCTAGCCCGACGTGCTTTCCAGTTACCTTACGAAGGTAGCTGGAGTGAGGAAAACCTCACAGGGTTACTTGTATTAAAACATTTGATTAATTGTCAAATTATAAAGTAACCTTCTTTCGCTATTGTTAGTCTCGTACTCATTCAATGAAGATCATGTTTTGTTTTGCTTCAGTATATTCATGTTCTTAACATGCAATTTCGTTAAAATTTTGATATAGATAGATTTTGCATGTTGATTCCTTTTCCGACCTGATCAGTGCAATAATTAGCGGCGCTGACTGCGCATCACGAAGACTTGGATGTTTCTAAAATATAATGTCTATGGGTTACGGGCCACTCAAAACTCTGAAGAGCCAAAAGTCCTGTCAAGGGATTCGGTAATTATGGGGTAGAAAGTTGACAGCATTCAAGTCTTCTCCACAGGGTGTGCTCTATCAAAATTTGGTCGGAGCTCTTGATGGAGGTTATACATCGATGAAGGTCTGATGCGTCACTCCACTGTTCTCTGAAAAAACATGTCATGATGGCTATCTTGTATTTCAAAATTACATCTAGAAGTGTAAAGGTAAATTTTTCACAAAATATATTAAAATGATTTGCTCGCTTTGAAATCCTTGAGTTTGTTAATCAAAATTCGTTAAAGTTTTACAAAATATGAAATTGATAATAAAACAAATTCCAAATTTCAAATTTGGGTTTCCACATGCCCATATTCGCAGTAGGATCACGTCATTCAAAATTCGATGGCTCTAAGTACCGTTGTTTTATCACAATGCGAGAAAACGAAAACAATAGTCCTTCAGGAACAAAGACACTTTGAACAAAAAAAAAAAAAAAAAAAAAAAAAAAAAAAAACTGAAAGGTTTTAGATTTTAAATTACGTCCAAAAGGGCGTTTTTTTAACATTTTGTCTGTTACCTTTATTTATTACTAGCGACCCGCTCCGGCTTCGAACGGGTATAAAATATATAGCCTATGTCACTCACTGAAAAAATTATTAAAATCGATCCAGTAGTTTTGATTTATTCATTACTGCCCGTGGCCCGCACGCGTCAAATTTGGAGTAAAACAATTCCCCTTTCCCTATACCATGAAGATCTCCTGCTATCTTTGGAATATCTAAATTCATACACTACATTTTTACTTATTTACTTTTTACATTTTTACCTATTTATTTTATTTTTACAACAATTAATATATTACAGAATGTCTTTATATACAACGTTCACAGCTTTCTTGTCATTAGTGAATGCGTAGTACAATGGTTGCCTAACTGATACGTTGTCGCGCTGAAAAGCACGTTTTTATTAAGTATATTGTTATTTTCCTCGCTAGAGAGCTCCGATAATAAACGCGTCCGATCGCTGCTAAATTCAAAGTGCTATAGGGAGAACCGCGGCCTCCGACGCGCTATTTATAGGCACGCTCCCTCCGCTCCGGCCGGCCGGTATCGCCGCAAACGCTACGTCTCGCAATTTTTAAATCTGAAGACCTTTTCAATGTGTACAATACTTAGTACATTATTTTGATAAATCTCGTAGGGTTCAGCCTGCGTTTGCAATGCAAGCGGAAAAAATGTAATTATTTACGACATCACATTAGAAACCTCAAAAATAACAGTATTTCTCTACTATTTAATGGACGTTATTATACATATAAACCTTCCTCTTCAATCACTCTATCAAAAAAAAAAAAAAAAAAAAAAAAACCCCGCATCAAAATCCGTTGAGTAGTTTTAAATATTTAAGCATACATAGGGATATAGGGACAGAGAAAGCGAGTTTGTTTTATACTATGTAGTGAAATATCACATTCTTCGCACTTAAACCATAAAATTCAGTGCAAGAGCAATATCGCAAAATAGTTTTAAATTGAGCATATCTTAAGAATTTCCGATACAGAGTCTCGCGCTGGAGATAAAAATGTTTTTTTCTGTACAACGTTGCCATGACTTGCTTTGAAATCCTTCAGTTTGTTAATCAAAAATTCGTTAAAGTTTTACAAAACATGAAATCGGTAATAAAACAAATTACAAATTTCTAATTTGGGGTTCCACATGCCCATATTCGCAGTAGGATTACGTCATTCAAAATTCGGTGGCTCTATGTACCGTTGTTTTATCACAATGCGAGAAATATACATACATTTATGTAGATTTTTCATTATTTAATTTCTTTCAAACATAATGCAGGACTCTAACATTTGGTGGCAACAGTTTGAAAAGTGAAACTGACATTTATAGTGAACCAACGCAAAATCGCAAAACGAAAACAATAGTCCTTCAGGGATGTTCGAACTTTTCATAGTATAGGGGGCGCTGTTGCGCCAAAAGAATTCTTCTGTGTGTCTACATTATGTAACTGTGGGTTCGCCGTTGCGATGTCTCTGTTTTACTGTGATATATTTTGGTGTTTTCATTAAATATACATGAAAGATATCGTCATGTATTTTTGTATACCAAATCAAGATCAAATTTAGACTGATGCAAACTCGTCGAAACAAAAAATAGCGTTCGAACAAGAATCGTCAAGTGTTATACTCGCATTTTCGAACTACGCATTCGTAATCGTTAATCGCTTCGTAATAAGGGACAAAGACCCTTTGGACTGAAAAAAAGGAAAAAAATCAAACGCGTATACGTAACGATTTATTAGAATTAAAAATTTTGGCCGATCTGAAGAACCTTTCATCTAATATTTCGCGTTTCAATAATCTGATAGACAGTTTAAAGGGCACTGAAGTCAAACAGTTGCTTTACGGCAAAACAGTTATGATTTACAGATAATTTTGAGGAATTAACTCATTCACAGTTTACCAAAAATTTTCATTTCATTGCTGTTTACCAAACATTCGTATTAAACAGGCAGTTTTTTCTCACTGTGAACTCTGAAAGAAAAAGCTGAATATATTAAGGAAATACGTTGTTTCAAAACAATTTAATAATTGCTAAAATGTCTGTTGGGAAGCTGATAGCATTTGATTGTGAAGAAAAATTCAGTAATATATCATGATTCAAATGGTGAAACATTTGAATATTTTTAGGTGTTTATACATAACTCAAACCGTAAAAAATAATAGATATAAAATAACTAAAATAAAGTAAATTTCTTACCCTACGCCCGTGTCTTCTTCTTTTTCGGTTTGATAACTAGCTAAGTCTCCTCCGAAAGCTTGGCAGTAGGTCCTAGCTTGAAACCAATTTAAACGTTCTGTTTCATATGTAGTTTCCTAAAATGTATTTCTAAAATAAGTCAGCAGTTACTTACTCTTCTCTCCGTACTTTCTAATAATTAATTTAAGATTTCCCTACCTTTGTTTGGAATTCCATTGTCCCTTGAATATGAAATATCCATTGAAATCGAAACACTTGGATCGAACACCTAAAATCTTCACAAAGCCTTAATTCCTTACGCCGATGCACCATCTAATATTTTTTTGTGCATCTCCAAATCAGATAATGGTGGTTCAGTGAGTTCACTAATTTTAACACTTTTACATTTTTAACAATATTTTAATTACTATACACAAAGCGTATTCTTAGGCCGCCGCCTTCGACATGAACAAACTTTATTCTCTCACAACTAAGCGAGCAACAGCGCCTCTAGCCTTTTTCTTCAAATTACACAACATACTTATATTGCGATTCTGAGAACAGTGAAGTGATAGATAAAGACTTTCCAAGATTGTTCAGAACGTCAAGTTTGTAAATATCATAGTTTTCTAAAAAATATAAAAGAAATTTAGAAAAATTAAGATAGAGAAGGAAGAGGTTTCCCATTCTTAAGCTCAAAGATTTTCAACGATGACAAAGTTTATAACTTTTGCGGTATTGAACTAACTTTGACTGTTAGTCCTCAACACACTACCATTGTCCATAAAAGTATAACTAATGCTCAACGAGTTATCTCATGGTACTTCTCAGACGTAGGATTAGACTCAAAATCTAACGTAAATATTATTAACTACAAAGTGTGGGGAATAGAACTTAAAATTAAAACAAGTTAAACTATACAATTTCTCGTCATTTGACAAAATACTGCTTTCGAGATAATACGAAAGAAAATTATCACGTAATATATGGTCACTTTACTTAACATGTTCCGCCAAACCAAGTTAATGGCATTATAGAGTTAGGAAGTCATCCTAGTCGTTGCTAGCAATCTGACGGTTAGGCCGCCTTTCTACATTTTACATTAATCTTTAGTGTCTTGGATATAATTATTTTCATTCACTTGCTTCATTATCTCTAAGATGCCCTTGTTGCAGTAATAGTCTGTGAACAGTCTATTCGCAGGATATGTGATGTAGTCGGAAGGAAAGAACTGCTGTCGAAGGTGCTGAGTCAGAGGGCAGGAGAGCAGGTAATGAAGTGCGTCCGCGTCTTCCCCGCGAAAACCGCAAGAATAGTTGACGTCCCGTCTGAGGAATCGCCTGTAATACGCTGGGAATATCCCGTGGTTGGCACAGGCCTGGAGGAAGAGTCGGTTGCATTTGAGCCTTTTGAGAGTAGGTATTGGGAAGATGTTGTAAGTAAATCTTTCTGTCTCTTCTTCCTGCCATCGTGATGACCATGTTTCTTGGAATGTTGTCTTGAGGAGCCTTTCTGAGACTTCCGCGGAAAGCGGAACTTCCTTGTCAATTTCTGGTTTGAGAACTGCGGTCTTAGCTAGTTCATCAGCTCGTTCGTTGCCTTTCTGCCCGGAGTGTCATTTTCTCCAGATTATTGGATTTATTTATTGACGTAATATCCGATACAAGGGAAAAACTTTATTGGGAAAGTGGGTATTGGTATTTGCATATGTTAACCATGGAATATATTCAAAATGTCCACCGCACAGACCGAGGTATGCTTGCGCGCATATGTTGTATGCCTCGTCTATGTGTCTTGAAATGGCTGACTGCATATGTTGCAGCAGTGTGGTGTCCACCAAATTACAGCAGCATGAAGACGAGCAACTAAGTAACTTACTGTAGTAAGTAGGTACACGTTCGAGGCAGCCATGAGACCTGACCCCCATGTCGAATCCAGCGGCCTAGGTATTCCATTTCCAGCCAGTTACGTACAAAATGCTAAAATGCGTTGGAGGCCCAATCATGCTGGAACCATAGGTTATGTATTGCGGGTAGGGGTATGTCTTTTAGGAAATCGATTAATAACCTCAGTGAGAAATCACAAGCACGAATGTTCCGCGAGCCAATCAGGCAGCAGATATTCTACAGTATATGACTGCCTAATATGCCGTCTCACATATTTACAGATCAGCAGACCTGATATCTCTGCGGGCGGATTGCATGAAGATTCTACTCTGACCGCATATGTCTGTTGTAACTGTTGAAGACCCATTCGCGTGGGAAGCATGCTTGATCCATCAACAAGTTATATGCTTTCTTTTTTTCACGTGGGTTTCGTCATCTTGAGATTGTATGTGTTTCGGAGCCGCAAACGGATATTTTTCGCTCCCATTTTTGCACGTGGTGTAACCGCCATTTTGGGATTGCATGAGTTTCGGTAAGCACTTTTTTGCAATTTTAAGTTATTTGTGTTGATAATTTGGATATGTGCTTTGCTTGTCTGATTTCATTTTAGTTATATTTTGTTTTCTATTCATTTCAGTGTGAAATTTTCTGCTGTTTTGTGTGCTTTATTTTATTTAGTTTGATTTTCTGCATTGTTTATCATGCCTTCATCCGTTAATCGTTTCACTAAATTACGCCTGATGAAACGGCAAAATTCCTGAATCATCTTGACCTTTTACTTAAATGTAAATGTAAAAATTGATCCCCAATTTTATTCAAATCAAATCTAATCAAAAACCTTCGAGTCGCGTTTCAAGAATTCTGTTAAATTGCAAGCTTGCCTTACTTCGGTCCGTCATAAGGGATACACGTCAACAATTGTCCAAAATTGAACATGAACTCTATAAGCTTCATCTGGAACTCGCTAATTCATATCCAAAATTCACTGCCCTTGAACAAAAGTCTTGGTCTAGAACGGAGAATGCAGTTAACCGTCATAAAAAAACACCCTTGCAGTTAATTTCGAAAAACTTCTTTTACAGTCTTCCAGTTCAAGTAGTTCAAAAAATCTTCCCATTGTAAACATCAAGCCAATAGTTAATATTTCTAATGTTAGTCTTTCAGAACACAAGAGAGAATTCTAAAATATAATTTTAACTTCTCACAAACCTGTAAACCCTCGATTCCAAAGATTTTGGCTCCTATCGAAAAAGCTTTCAAGTTCAGTAAAGTTTCAGATTCACAGAAAGAAATGATTAGGCATCTTATCGCTCATAATGTGAAATTCAATAATAAACCAAGCAAATCTAATGCGAGAGATTCATTCTAACCCGGATATTATCATTTCAAAGGCCGACAAAGGTGGCCAGATAGTCGTCATGGATAAGAACACTTACATCGATGGTGTCACTAAACTCTTAAACGAAGGACCATATAATCCGATCCCTAAAGATCCTTCACCTTCGTACTTGTCAAAAATAAAAACTGCGATCAAATCTTCGCAAATCATTTCAAGCAACTTAAAACATTCGCTTATCCCATCCGTTGCGAATTGTGCCAGATTATATGCTCTTCCCAAAATTCATAAAAGTGGTATTCCTTTCCGCCCTATTGTATCAAATTTAGGTACTGCCTCGTATCCATTAGCTAAATATTTAGTTTCTAGATTTTCCACTCTATTAGACAATAACATTTACACCATAAAAAATTCAATAGAGTTTGTAAAAAAGGTTAAAAACATTTCTCCTAGTAATTTACTCATGGTTTCTTTTGATGTAAAATCATTATTCACCAATGTCCCAGTGGAGGGTGCATTAAGATGTCTAGAAACCAGACTTCGCGAATTTCATTTCTCTTGCATCGAAATTGATGAGCTAATTTCTCTCACTCAACTCTGTTTGAAACAAACACATTTTGTTTTCCAAAATAAATATTACAAGCAAACTGAGGGATTAGCCATGGGAAGCCCCCTCAGTCCCATCCTGGCTGATATCTACATGCATTATTATGAATCAAAATTGTTTGAAACTTTAAACTTCCCGGCATGGTTCCGCTACGTAGACGATACTTTTACCCTGTTTGAAGGTAATAAAGATGATTTAAATAAAGTTCTTTCAACAATGAATTCTATTGATCCTGCTATTCAGTTCACTTTTGAACTTGAGACTTGCAATTCTCTTCCGTTTCTCGACATTCTGGTCACACGTAACACATCCAACTTCATACGTAACACATCCAACTTCAGTACTACGTTTACCGCTTCATCGGTTTGCCTTCCACCACACTTTAAATCATGTCATCCGACTAAACAAAAGTTAGCTTCATTTTATTCCTATGTTTTCCGTGCTCTTCAAGTTTGCTCCTCCAAACTAGCCCTTGATGAAGAACTAAATTATTTAAAATAGCTATTGACAGGGGCTTTTCACCCAACATTATTAATCAAGCAGTTAAAAAATTCTCATCTCAACACACTAAAAGGCACACTCTTGTTTTAGGAGATTATAAAAATTCTGTTGTCATTCCCTTCTTTCCATCAATTAGCTATAAAGTTGCACATATTTTGCAGAAATTTAACTTTCGGGTTGTTTATTCTCCCATCAATAAAATTCCAACTTCTATACTCAAGGACCCCATTCCGGATATGAATTCCTGGGGTATTTATAGGATTCCTTGCCAGTGTGGTTTAATTTACATTGGCCAAACTAAGAGAGCCTTAAAATTTCGCGTCAAAGAACATGAGGCATATGTTAGAAAAAAGGAAACACAGAAGTCTTCTGTTGCTCAACATTGTTGGTCCGAAAATCACACTTTCAATTTTTCTGCTGCCAAAATTATTCAAAAAACATCTTCCATTGGAGAACTGGATTTTCTAGAGGCATTTCACATTCATAAAAATCTTTCTGTTCTAGTTAACGATCCTAATTCCAATCCAATCTTTGCCTTCGGCCTTTAAAGAAATTATGTTTTAGTTCTGGTTTCGCCAACAGATGGCGCCACTTGCTTATTCTTGTCCAGGCTTTCTTATCTTATCTAATCATTATTTCCTATCTTGTTCATTTGCGGTTTTGCAGCTGAAGATGATGGTTCGGTAAAACCATCGAAACTAGTCCTGTGAAAATTTTGAAAATATAAACGCTGATTTTTGTTGTTTGAATTCTAAATTAATAACGTATATTCAATGAAAGCATTATCGGCTCCCTGTTATTGCAACAGCAATTTGCAAAAGTCAGCGCGCCGCTGAATGTCATCTGGATGTAGACCTTGGAACGTTGTATAGCGAAATGGGTACAGTCCCACTTACTGTAACAACTTGTGAACAGTACTGCCACGCGCATTCTCCTCCCTGGCCTAGTGTGCGTGTTTTCACCTAGGGAGATTCTTCAATACTCAGAAATATTTCATCTTCCTGTGCTGACGTAAGTGCGCTGCGTGTTCTTTCACCAACATCGTGGAGACTATATGTCAGGTGAACGCTTCCAGCATTTCTCAATCTGTTGTCCAGCCTGTGTATGACTTTGACATCTGAAGGACGGCGTGAAGTATATAATCTGGCATACTTTCTAGCATTTCTTAAAGCATTACCCTTACATTGACCGAAGATGAAGAATATGTTGCAATATTCACAAACGGAATACATTATCACCATGCAAAGATTACCGTTATTGCAGACTTATTCTGGGTCTCTACAGCCTAAGCATTACTTCTTAGAACAATTACAAAATTCCTTTGAAGCCTTAGAATGAATGGTACATGAAATAAGTCCTTCGTAGGAGCTCCTGAATGGTGAAAAGAAGAGAATTAAGTTCTAACTGTTTTCATTATTATCTCCGTGCTTCTAAACGGCCAATGATTCAAAACTTCACAGATTCTTTCAAATGACAAACCGTTTCGACTCCTTACACTCTGAAATCAAACACTTTATTGTAGAAATTCACTCTGATATTCACTTTGCGCAAAATGTTTGGTTCACTGTCAGATGACATAACGCCTGTGCATATCAGAAATCGTTTGATAACATTTGATTGGATAACGCTAATTAGGTTTGTCTTTCACAAATCTCTCATTAGAAACATTTTGAAAAGTACTAACAACAAATCACATCGGAGAGATTTTGTGTGAAACGAAAGCTCAAAAAGCAGCCTAAAAATAGTCAAACGGTGCTTAAATGACAACGGGAAGATAAAATAAGATATGTCCTAAAGATGAAGACCCGATTGTTTTATAGAATGGGATGCCTTATACAAACGACAACATTTTCCTCGTTATTTTCTACTTATGGCCATTCACTCTGCTTTATCAAATACAGTAAATTTAATTACGTTTTTGTTTATTTTATTTGTTTAATACCATGTTTATCTTTTTTCATATTTAATCATTTCTATTGATTATAAACTTGTGCACAGTGTACTGTTGTAAAATTTAGACAAGCAGTTATCTGTTGTCCGATAACACTGATTGCAATGGGGAAAATTATTCCGGTTTACGAACATTTCAGTTAATGAACGACTTTCAGGAATGAATAAAGTTCATGAACCGATGTTTCATTGTAGAAGAAAAAGCATCATATTGTAAATAGGAAAAATGTAGGATTATGATGATCTTTTCAATAGTTTGAAACAAGCATGGCGACAGATACCGCGATGAATTTTAAAAAGATATATAAGTACATACACAGCATTTTTCCCCCAGCATTTCCAGAAAACGTAAGAGATTACGGCGTGTCATGTGATTCAGAAGAGAAAATGTCCACGTCCTGTTTTAGAATTATTAACCTATTAATGTGGAGTTATTAATAATTATTACTTCGAATTATTATTCTTCTAAATAAATAATACAACTACTGTTTTTACAAACAATTTAAAAGCATTGTTGTTCGTGCAAAGTTGAAATATTTGTAAGACTTCCCAAACGTGGAATTCAAATTTAACGTAATTGCGACGCCTTTCAGCAAAAGTGAAGGAAATCAACAGTAGGTACGATTCTTGAATTCAAATTGCACAACTAGTAGTTTGAAACGTTTTGCAAAAATGGTTAAAATTCTTTCCACAGAAATTGTAAATTTTGTACTGCCTGCATGATCTTGTGAGAAAGCAAAACAAGGCTTCTTCATTATAGGTGAGGCTATTTTGTCTATAGCCATGATGCTATTTGTATGTGACACATGGTGATCGCCTACGCTGTTGCATGAAATACTGGGAAAAATTCATGTCTACATGATCAGTACTCTTAAATTTTACTGCGTTTTGTAAAAATAGATTATTAAAACTCTGTGAGACTTTTGTAATAATCTTGTATAAAAATCAAAATATTGAAATTTTTTGTTTTAGACTTATTAAAGAATAATGAATATTCTACTCCCTTACTTGAAATTCTTCACAAATTAATTGCCGACTACTCACCATAACAGCATAATATTATCTCATATCTTTTGATGGTTTGGTGCTCTATATTGTCGTACCAATTCTAAAAGATAGCATTTTGATATGCAAATATTATTTCTCTTAATATGGACTGTATGGTGTTTGCATTGCCTATAACTGCTATTGTAGGTTTCATCTAACATCATTTGATTAATTACCTTTTGTACCGAGGATTGCTCAGATACGTTTACCATACTAACCAGACATTTTTTCCTCTATTTTATAGCCTGTTCGTTGCACAAAGATTTCCCCTGAAAATATTCTCCTATCTTATAGTGGAGGAACTGTTGTTTTGCAATATAAGAATTATTATTATGCTTTAAAAGATACGAAGCACGAGATATATCTGAAAATACTAAAATTAAACGAGAAATATAGTAGAAACTGTTGAATTTAAAAAACAACCCCCTGTTATCTTCTATCATAATAATAACACCTAACTGGAAATAAACGTAATATCACAATGACCACTTACCCAATAACAGTATTCGCCATGCCGCTTCCAGTTATTACCATAAGGGCAACCAAGGGGTTTTAATGCAGTTGTAGTCTGAACAGGAGCTGGAGTAGTAACCTTTACTGCGTCCATTTCGCACAAAAAATTGTGTGTTTCGCTGCAGTTGCTCTTGATCCAAGAATATAGTGTAGGATGAAAAGTTTCTGACAAGAGACCCATGCACTCCATGTCTATATTGAAGTAAGAAGAATCATGTTGGAATAATTTTTTAACAAATGTATTATGATTTGGCAGCATGCAAAACATTTAATCTTCTGTGTCTTAAATTTCAATAATAATCAATAATTCGAATTTTCATTTTCTTTAAGCTACATTCCACAAATTTCGCATTAAAAGTAGGCATTAAACTATATTCCACAAATTTCATATTAAAATTAGACATTAAAATATAGTATTGAAATTTAATATTAACTTTTCTTCATAAGCTGAGGATTTGTAGCTCGAAATGTTCTATTTATCAAGCTTGCTTCTTGAACCGAATTTGTGATGCTGGGATTTTTTTTACCTTTCTTTCTCGATAATAGAAGTCAAATACCACAGTAAAGGAGATTATTTCCCCAAATCTCCCAGAATATAGAATTCTTAGATGTGAAATAGTGTACACTATCGAGTATAATAATTTAATCTCATAATAAAATAATTTTTCCCTTTTGCTTTTAGTAATATTTGTATTTTCAACTGTAAAAATAACTGTAATTTATATTGAAAATGTGATTTATAACTATATATGACATCAAGCGAAGCTTAACTGTAAAATATTAGTTGCAGTTTGTTTAAAAAATATTTTTAAAGTAACATAATTCTTTAAAATATCTTTGATTGTTTGATTGATCTTTGATGTAACTTTGATTGATCCATCTCATTAATATTTTCATGCAATATTTTAGCTATTAAAATTAACTGCTTCTTATATAAAGGAAATATTTTATTAATTATAATATTTTATTAATCAATTAACGGGTCAGACCTTAAGTTAAAAATTCATTTCGCTAGTAGTAATAATTAATTAGGGTCATATTTCTGAGAGTTAATTTAAATCATTAACTCTGAGATATTTGGATTTGCAAGGCAGCAAGCATAAATAATATTACAGCACTCGAGCACTTATTTGCTAATATAGAAAAGTTCACACAACTAAGTTTAACGATAAGAATTAAGTTGAAGTATTACATACTTAAATAAGCCCTAATGAATATTTTAAAATTAAAAGATGTGAAACTGCGTCCACTGAAAATATAGCGTATTACTACAAATAATTAAAATAAACAAAAGAAAAGGTCTCATAAATTTTAGAAAAGGGCAAGAGATTGCCAGAAAATAAAATGCAAAGAAAAATTAAGCATAAAAGATTAATAATTTATAGAATTTAAATAATTTAATGCAGGAAGTTAAAAAGTAGAGAAATTAAAATAATTTAAAATATAACGTTAAAAAGTAGAAAAAAGAAAAGATAATGGGTTTCATTAAAAGCATAAATTCCTTTTCTGATTTGAACTCGAATATATGAAAATACCTTTTTTATTCCCAATACTACATAAGAGACATAATGTCGATTTTTAGTATGGTTCAGAATCCTTTAGAAATAAATGCATTGTTTTCCAAGCTGAGTTACTGTGCAGTAGTGAATCAATTAAGTGGATATCTAATCATTTTTGTTTACGTTAAAAATTCCTTATTTACACTAATCATCATTTATCCTTATATTTTCTTATGAATAGTTTCTTCAGTAGTAACGTTAAAAAGTAGATAACGTTTCATAATCACTTTTTATGCAATTCTTTAAAATCTTAATAATAAACTTGATGATGTTATTTTCTTCCATTTAGGTGGCCATAGCGGCAGTCTGTTAAATGAAAGGACTGGGTGATTCACAAAGCGAGCTACAAATCTTCAGGTTAACATTACAATGACACTGCTTAATACTCGGTTTCTTCAAGAAACCGAGTTAGAGTAAATAATTCTCAAGTGGAAGGAATTATACAGAAATTTTCTACTGCCTTTATTTATTTTTAGAAATTTATTCTACTGCCTTTCTGACTAAATTATTTTTTCTATATATTCCTCGCAACTCAATAATAATGTTACGAAATATTAAGGCGCGGTAAGGTAGCTTTCCCGCAAAGCAGTTTTAGGGTTGCCAGAAAATGGCAAGGGAAGGCAGGGTTGCCACATTTGGTGACAAAATCGGCAATATGCCATAGATGGATGGAGAAACTTCTGGAACGAATTTTTACCGGTTTAGCCCAGAATGTTCTCGAACACAAGCCAAAAGCTATACAAATCCTGATGGTATGCGGAGAGTTAGTGTGTTTCGTCAGTTAGTTAGACCGTGCAGGGTCTATCGAGTTGATAGTCAGTGAGTGCCGAGTCCCGAGTCAGTCGTCAAGTGCACCGAAAGAGTCTCTTAGTGTATCGCGGTTAGGCATTGTCGAGAGAGTATGTTGAGCTCCGGGAACGACTGAACCGAGGAATCGGGAGCTGTACTATAGTATACCGTCGAGTGCATCGCAAGTTGTAGTGTGGAGAGTCTCGAGAGTACGTGGAGTTCCAAGAACGACCGAGCAGAGTCGGGAGCTGTACTTTGGTGCTTTGTCGTTAAGCTGTCTTCACCGTTATAGCCTGATTGCCTGAAGGCTATATTGCTGATTGTTACAGCCTGTCTGTAGTAGTTCTTCGACGACTGTATAAACGTGATTTTGGAGTTGTCCTATTGGCCAAAAAGTGTGTTTCGATACTTTAATCAAGTGCTGTTGTCGTTATTCACTCCAAATCGCATGAACCCGTAACGTACGAACGTAAAGGAAGAGAAAATTACGTAACAATACACAAATTTTAACCCAAAGGAGTTTTAGCACAGAAGGGCTACTCTCAAAACGGAATTTTGCGTTGAATCACTGTAAAAGGCTGAATCACTTTTCAAATTGTTGCCACCAAACATTATCGCTCTGTGTTATTTTAAAAGAAATTAAAGGATAATGAATGTAGGTATGTTTCTCGCATTGCGAAAAATGACGGTACCTAGAGCCTTCAGATTTTCAATAACGTTATCCTCCCCCCCCGAACACGGGCACCTGGAAGCCCGAATTTTGAATTCTGAATTTGTTTCTTTAAGTATTTAACATTTTATAAAACTTTACCGAACTTTTACCAAATTTATGATTAACAAACTCAATGATTTCAAGGCGAGCAATGACAACACTGTACAGAAAAAAAAAAAAAAAAAAAATCTCCAGCGCGCAAGACTGTCTATCGAAAATTCTAAGATACGCTATTTTTAAATATTTGTGATTTCGCTGTTGAATCGAATTCTATATGGTTTAAGTGAAAACAATATGATATTTAATAAATAAAAGTAACACACAAAACGTTAAAAAGCTCCTTTGGGCGTGTTACAGTTTATGTAGCTGGCCACGAGAGGGCGCAGCGTTTTTTACTTTTAGCTTGTTATATTTTTCTTACTGCATGATTATTGTTTTTTGAGATAGATGTAGTGGCAACCAGAAAAACATGATGAATGTTCTAATGTAAGCATACAATTCTTGTACATAGATGTAAATAAAGCTTCTATGTGATAAAAATGAAAAGGAATTCCAAGCGTTCCTGTGGATATTTATTAAGAAAGGTAAGCAAAATTTCACTTATTGTTGTTGTTAAAATGTAAATAATAAGAATAAGAAAAAAGATCATAAGTTGCAACATGGTGCCAAAATTCCGAGATAACAGTGATCTTTAGATATATTGTGATTTAAGTATTTATTATTGTTCGATTAGTGATTGAATATTGATTATTAAGATGGATAAGTTAAAAGCACTAAAAAAGAAGCGAGGAATGTTAAGAGCATCAGTAACAAGATTGATAGCTAAAATGGAAAAGGAAATAGAATCGGATAATATTAAATTTGATTTATTAGAAGATGATTTATCCATCTTAAATGAAAATGAAAACGATATACTAATATTGAGCTCTGAAATCGAATCTATCCTAACAGATGAAAAAGAGTATGAAACTGAAATACAGGATAGCTTGGAATATAAAAATAAAATTACCTTGTGTAAATCGAAGATCAGCAGAATATTTAGAAATAGAAAATGTGTTAAATTAAATGAGTTGCCATCTAATTCTGCTACTATAGATACGGTAGAGAACATAAAATACAAATGGCGCTAAACTTCCGAAACTAACCATAAATAAATTTAAAGGCGAAATATGTGAATTTCAAAGTTTTTGGGCTCAATACGAATCTGCTATACATAATAACTCTGCTTTAAAGGATGTAGACAAATTTAATTACCTCACATTTACTAACGGACACAGCTTTTAATGTCAATAAAGGGATTACCGTTAGTTGCCGAAAATTATGCTAAGGCAATAAATATTCTGAAAGAAAGGTTTGGTAGAAAGGACATTTTAATAAATGCACATATGAATCGTCTGCTGAATTTAAAGCCAGTTAAAAAAAATGGATGATATTAAAACATTACGTAACTTATACGAAAGCTTAGAAATTGAAATTAGAAGCCTTGATTCCCTTAACGTTACTTCAAATTCTTACAGCTATTTATTATGCCCACTGTTAATGAGGATACTTCCTAGCGAATTGGTTTTAGAGTTTAATCGATCTTTAACCCGTGACACAGAAACCACAGTGACTAACATTTTGGAATTTCTGAAGAAGGAAGTTGAAAGCAGAGAGCGTACGTTTTTCCAAACATCGCCAAACTATTCCGAGTTTAACATTAGAACCGAACAACATAAATATCAATCGCGAGACCTTATTAAAAGTGAGAAATATCATACTGCCTTCAAAAACAAACATTTTGTTCCAGCAGTTGCGTCGTTGAATACGAATACATCAACAGCCGATTGTATATTTTGTGGGAAGATAGAAAATGAATCTTTGAAACATTCTACTTCAAATTGCGCAATTCCAACTGAGGAAAAAAGAAAAAAAATTAAAATTGGCTAACGGATGCTATTTATGCTTTCGTAAGTCTCATACATCTGCCCGTTGCAGCTCGGATATACGCTGTGATTTATGTTCATTAAGGCATAATACTATTTTACATGATAATAAATTTGAAAATAAACGGGAAAATAAAGGTGAGCTTAAAACAGACACAGTGGTGGCGTCAATTTCGGAAAGAGATCACAAAAATAGGTTTAT